ATTATCATTTAAGACAAATATGGTAGAAGACAAATCAGCTCCAAAAAAGTATGAGAAAAGAAATTGATTATAAGAAGAAAAATAATTTTAAAAACTCTTGTCCCAATGAATCTAACCACAGAAGAAGGAAAATTGTTTTATCTGTGAAAATTCAGGTCATTATGCACCTCAGTTCAGACGTAGAATAAGAAACGATAATCTTCCTACGACAAATTTAGCCAAACGAGAAAATACAATTATTACAGTCATTTTCCAAATAAACCTTATGACAAATGTGAGCAAATGAGTGGTAGACTCTAGTGCTACCAGACACATCTATATAAACATAAGTATTTTTACCTCCTATACTAGTGTGAGGATGGAGAAGAATATGTTTATTCAGTAATTCCAGGATAACTCTTGTCCTAGAAAAAAGGAAAATTTCTTCTAAAACTCATATTTGGGAAGACTCTGGCCTTAAGTGATGTGGTACATGTATTACTAATCAGAGTTAATCTAATTTTTGTAGCACTAATGGGAAAATTTAAGGTTAAAGTGTCATTCGAATTTGATAAGATTATTATGACAAAAAATAAAGTGTTTGTGGGGAAAAAATATTATGATCAAATTCTTTTTGTACTTAACATCTCTGAAGTTGTTAATGAATCTGACTCTTCTGCTTATATTGTTGATTCATATAATATGTGGCATGTTAGACTAGGATATGTAAACTCCTTGTATGTTATAAAATTACAACGATTAAGATTAGTTAATATGCATGATAAACAAAGTAGGACATGTGATATATGCGTAGAATCTAAAATATAAAAAAAGACGTGTCACTCAGTAGAATGTCAAACTGCACTTTTAGGATTAATTCATACTGATATAACTTATCTAAAACAAACCATGTCTAAATGTGGTAAAATTATTTTGTAACATTTATAAATGATTACTCTAAATACACCAAAATGTACTTAGTTAAACATAAGGATAAAGTGTTTGACATGTTTTTAACCTATAAAGCAGAAGTAGAAAAACAATTAAACAAGAAAATTAAGAGGATTGGATCAGATAGAGGTGGTGCATATGTAGTATTTAACGATTATTGTGTTAAAGAAGATATTGTTCATCAAGTACCCCACCATATTTACTAAGTCTAATGGAGTAGCTGAGAGAAAAAATAGAACTCTTAAAAATATGATGAGTGTCATGTTTATTAGTTCTAGTGCACCTGATAACCTTTAGGGAGAAACCTTGTTTACAACATGTTTTTAAAAAATAGGATACCGTATAAGAAAACTGGTAAAACCCCCTATGAGTTATGAAAATGTTATCAACTTAATCTTAAATACCTAAGAGTGTGGGGGTGCCTAGCTAAAGTAATGCTACATGATCCTAAGAAAAGAAAAATAGGCTCTAAAACTTCTGATTGTATGTTCTTAGGCTATGCAGAACATAATGTTGTCTATAAATTTTTTGTCCTCAAAAGTGATACAATTGAACATATACTATAGTGAATGCAAAAAATATTGAGTTCTTTGAACATATTTTTCTTCTAAAGATTATTGAGACATCTAAACAACCTATAGATATTAAAAATGACAACTTGTGTGAGAATTTGAGGAATAGTAAAAGACAGAGGAAGGAAACCTCATTTGGAGATGATTTTTTACACTTATTTAGTTGAAAATGATATAACGAGTTTTATGGAGGCTACTAGGGCTCCTAATGCAATACCTATCAATTAAAAAAAATGATACTTGGACTTTAGTAGATTTGCCTAAATAAGCAAAACCTATTAGTTATAAGTGGATCTTTAATAGATCCATAGATAAATACAAGGCAAGATTAGTAGCAAATGGTTTTACTCAAAAATCCAACATTGATTATTTTGATACCTTTGCCCCTGAGATTAGGATTTCCTCTCAACCTGAAGGGTGTGTTGTTCCTGGTTAAGAGAACAAAGTATGCAAACTTTTAAAATCTTTGTATGGATTAAAATAGACACCAAAACAGTAGCATGAAAAACTTGATAATATTATAATTTGTAATGGTTTTTCAACTAATGATGTTGATAAATATGTGTACTCTAAATTTGAAAGTGGTGAATGTGTCTTTGTATGTTTATATGTAGATGACATACTAATATTTGGTACATGTATTGACATAGTTTCTATAACCAAATTGTTTCTGGGATCTAAATTTGAAATGAAAAACATGGGTGAAACCAATGTGATTTTGGGAATTAAAATCATAAAGAAATGAGATAGTATCTTAATATCCAAAAAATAATACATTGAGAAACTTCTTAGGAAGTTTGGGTATTAAGACTTCAAATTAGTGAGTTCCTCTGTTGACGCTAACTCCAAATTAAATAAAAATAAAGAAGATTTTATTTCTCAACCTCAGTATACCCAGATAATTGAGAGTTTCCTGCATTTAGTGAACTTTTATAGACCTTACATTGTCTATGCAGTAGGCAGACTGAATAGATACACTCAATGTCCTAATCAGGAACATTGGGATGCACTTGCAAGTCTTATAAAATACTTAAGAGGTTCAATGGATTATGCCATTGAATATAATAAATTTCCTATTGTACTAGAAGGGTACAATGATGCTAATTGGATTTCTAATTCAGATGAGACAAATTTCACTAGTGATTATATATTCACACTCAAGGGTGGAGGTTAACCAGACAAACAATTATTGCAAGATCGACAATGGGATTTGAGTTTATTGCTCTCGAAATGGCTGGTAGTGAAGTTAAGTGGTTAAAAAACTTCTTAGCAAACATTCTATTAGGAATGAAATCGACCTCATCTATGTCAATACACTGTGATTGTCAATAGTTATAGCTAAAAACAATAATTACAATGGAAATAATAGACATATACAATTGAGATACAATTCGATGAAACAACTGTTAAATAGTAGAACAACTCCATTGACTATGTGAAGTCATAACAGAATATTCTAGCAGAACCTCCGACAAAACCTTTAGGGAGAAACATGATTTTAGAAACATTGAGGGGAATGAGACTCAAGCCACTTACATACAAAGAAGTGATGGTAACCTAATTTTTGTGATTGGAGATCCTATGAATAAAGTTCATGTGGATAAAAACAAGTCATTTATTAGTTCTGCTAACACTAAAATTGATTAAAATCAATTATGTCTATTCTTATGGTTGTGAAAGTGTTAGATATTGCATCTTTGAGAGATTAAACTTTGTAATTAAAATTTCATGTGATGTACGAATTTTAGTCTAAACAAAATTTTTAATGATTTCATAGCCCTTACGGGTGATGTATGATTTTGTAGCATATGCTTGATGAAATCACCTATTTAAGTGTTGAGTGATATCACTTGTATGAGATATCTGCAAGATTTCTAGAGCACTTGTGAATACCGAGCACGTGTATAACCTAGTAAGCGTAACACAACGATAACAACAAGAATTACGAGGGTATATTGTGATTGTTAAACCGTTGACACACACTAAGTATTTTTGTTCATATAGCTTATTATACCAACTCTAATGCATTACATCTTATATGAAACCCATGATTTTCTTCTTTTGATCTTTAAATTTTATTTATTTTGCAATATGTGGGGGATTGTTGTAGAAAGATAAAGATATTGTAAAACTCACGCTCTGCACCTTCCGCAAGACGTGGTTGCAGTTACAAATCACACTTCCTCCTCACATGTTTAGGTTTAGTGTTACACAAATCTTGATTTAGTTGCAAACAAACGTGGTTGCTGAATTTCAGGTATAGGTGGGCTGAAACGTTGTTGTGTGTGGCTGTTACGTGAAGATGAGTTTGTTACTCATACGCTACCTATAAATAGACCACTCCACACTCCTCCAAAAACACACCTCACTCATATTCTCTTTTCTTCCCTCTCACTTTTTTTGTCCTGTGTTTATACATTCTTTTTAAGAGTTTCTTACTAGTTTTTTAGTTCTTCAAAAAATTCGAAAAATTTCTATTGTATATTGAGAGACTTATACAATACTTCATAAATAAGTATTTAAGGACAATGACTATACCAACTTCAGAAATCAAATTTTTTATTGTTTCTATCATACTTTACAATAATTATTATAATTTTTTTTACATAACATATCCATTATAACAATATTATTAAAATCAATTTAATTTTTTATATTTGGTATATTATCCATTTTAAAATTATAATCAATCATAATTTTATCCTTAAAAAATATTCATAAAAAAAATTATCATTATCTTCTTCTTATAAAACGCATATAGAAACGTACCTTTCAAATGAAGACCAAGCAATACGAGCGGAATAAAACTCTCGTCTTCCAATGAACATCCAATTTCGTATCAATTACAATAACATTAAATTAATTGTTATGTGCGAGGTAGGGTAGATTTTCGAATCTAAAATACTTCATCAAACAAAATAACATGCAGTTATTTTGTGGGTACATAAACTAATTACAAGAAAGATTAATGTAATGCGACAACAATAAACAAAATAATAAAAGGGTGAAAAGTGGAAAACAAGTAATTGACCGACTGAACCGAAAAGGGGAAAAAGGGCAAAAGATAGTCTTGATTATATAATTAGTCTTAAGCAGCACGCCACTAATATTAGAACACGTGCGCCAAGTAGTGGGCCCGGACTTGTTGCATAATAAAGCAGCACAATGAAAGATAAAAATAAAAAGAAAACAAAAAACATCATTGTAAAAGAATCTTGCAATGAGGATGGTTGGATTATATGGAGATTAGTGAGGTAGCAGACACGTGGATCGTTACTGTACACTCTCTTTCTTAGGCACAGTGAGTACTAAATCATGAAAAGTAGAGTCAGGGAAAACGACAAGAAGCAAGGACTGAGCATCATAAAGTTTCAAAGGCCATAAAAAACACTATGCTTATGCTATTGCTATTTCCATTGCCATTGCCATTGCTCAATTCATGGCACTTTAATTGGCGAGTGAGGTGACTTTTCTCTCACTAGTCACCACCACACCCAGTTATCACCACCTGGTATAGGGTGAAAGCAACAATAATCCTCCCTTTGTATTGGTACGTGAATCAATTAACCAATGAATCAATCCTCTCTCTCCATTTATTTATTTTCTTGCACATTATTGGTGTTGGAAAAACCGAGATTGTAGCCTTGAGAGGTGTAGTTCATGACAGTATATGACAAGTATAATTTGTGATGTCAATTTTATTTTAAAATTCTCATTAAATATCTAATGTTAACAAAAGAAGTATGTTATTAAGGATAGAAAATAAAAAGGATAGACAATATATGACAAGTATAGTTTCTTCTAACTATTTAATTGTTTCGATATACTATTATTGAGGATAGAAAATAAAAAGGAAATGTTTACTCTAATAAATAATTTGTTTCAATATTATATGAGAAGAAAAATAAATTATATTTTTTAGATAATTTAGATAAAGAAACAGATAATCAGATGACTTTATAACATTTATTAAGAAAGAAGAAACAACATAATTATAATTATTTTGTAATTCAAAATCGATTATGGTTATGAGTGTTTTATTATTATTATTTTCTTTTCTTTATAATAATATAAGAATAATAAATAAAAGTATTAATAAAAAACAAAATAAGTTACAACAAATAAAATTATCTTATTTTAAAGAACCTTGTTAATAAATATGACATAAACAATAAAAATGGTTGGATGAGTTAAAAAAGGAAAAAGCTTCATTTACTATATGATGTTGTTGTGAGATTAAACTAGTTTAGTGGTCTAGGATTAGATTAATCACTTCCTCTTTTAAAAGATTTTACATGGAAAATAATTATTAGGATGATAATAATATTAATAGACAAAAACTAATAAATTTATTAAAATTAATTAAAATTAATATTTATCTTGTTTTATATTATAAATCTTAAATAAATTATATTTAAGATTAGAAAAAATATTATAATAAAATAAATATAAATAAACCAATACCAGTTTTTTGTATACAATTTTAAATAACTAATTTTCTAAATGATAACTTTTTGAAAATATGTTTAAAGTGACTAAATGAACGGGAAGATTAAAAACTCATCAGCAACACTAATTAAATATATGATATCATCCAAATCACTTGCATTTAATATTTACATAAATCTTATAAAAACAAGATTAATGCAAATTATCACATGCTCTTCAAAAAACCTATGCGAAATTACAAATAAGTAAGAAAACACATATAAAAAATATACATAAATTCAATAGAAAGAAAAGAAGCAAAGAAAAATATATATATATATAAGTGGAAAAAATAGTAGGCGGGAAATTTATTCAAATGGACAAAAAATAACAAACACCTAGATGATGAGAAAAACGGGTGAAAAAAATAGTGAAAGAGAGAGAAAAATAAGGAAAAAAAACTACTGTAAAAAATAAATTAAAAAAAAGTTTATATAAAAAACAACAACAACAAAATAAAACATTATGTGAAAAAGCTGCCAACAGCTAAAAATATAGCAAAATAAATATATATTTCAAACAAGTAATACCAATCAGTAAATGTGCAACATTTTGATAGACTAAACTGAGAAAACATATCACTAGGATTTAGGATGGGAGATTTAATTAGTTAATTTGTACAGTAATCTTATATACTAAAATTGATTATGATATACAAAAATATATATACAATTTAAAAAAAATTATAAATCATTTATCATAAAATAATATATAATATAAAATATATTTTAACTGTGTTAAAAGATATTCATATAAAAATTAATAATTTTATATTACATAATAATATTTGTAACTTATTTATTTAATTTAAATTTGATAAATTAAGATTTATTTTATTATTATTTTTATTTTCTATTGAAAAAATATAATTTTCTTATATATCTCTAAAATTTAACATTTTCTTTTGCTATTTTTAATATTAAAATAAAATATTGTAAAATACTAAAACAAATAAACAATTAATAATAAAATTATTCATTTTAATAAAAAATAATAAAATAAATAAATTTATTTAGTTTAAAAATAATAAAATAAATAATTATTTTATTTTATTTATTGGTTTCAATAAAAATATTTGAAGTATCTTTCTTATTTTTAATGTTTTTTTTTTATAATTGTCTTAGAACAAAATTATTAATTTTGATATTATTAAAATGAAAAATTAGAGAAAAAAAATATAAAAAGTTTATAAATCTTATGTTACGAATTGAAATTGCAAAATATAAAAAATTAAATAAACTAGCGATAACGATAAAGATAAAATATGAATATTTAATTTTAGAATTTTAAGTAAAAAATTTAAAAGTAAAATAATAATAATAATAAAAGAATAAAAAAGTAAATTTTTTGTTCTCAAGAGAAAAAAAGGTAATAATGTTGAGATAAAATATAAATATTTAATTTAAAAATTTCAAGTAAAAAAGTAAAAAGTGAAAAAAAAATAATAAAAAAAAGATAAAAATATAAGTAAAAAATTTTATAAAGTAATGATAATAATATTTTTTTTTCATGAAAAATATAATAAATTTTCTACATTTTAATATATATATATATATATATATATATATATTTAAAATAATTATTATATATCTAAATAAATAAATAAATCCACATTCTATTTATTCTATAACTATTATAATTTTTTTAATGGTTTTCAGTGAAAATCATTTGTATTATTTTTATCTTTAAGTGTAATAAAGAAATAAAACTTGAAGAAAAAAAAAGATGGAGAATATTTTTTAAAATTTAGGAAGAAAGTGATATAAAAAGGAAAAAAAATAATTATTTTAAAAAATAATAAATAATGAACTTTTAAAAAATGTTTATTTTATTACAAAATTATTTATAAAATTATTAATTAAATTTTTATTAATAAAATATTGTTTCAAATAATATTTTAAATTATATATTTTATTTTTAATAACATATATTTGAAATAATTATAAATATTTTATTATGCAATTATTATTTTCTTAATTATTTAAAATTAAAATAATGAAATAATATCACATTATAAATATATAAAAAATGATTTATTTAGTTTTTATAATCACTTTTATATTGAAGATATTTATTAAAGTATTAGTTAAAAATATATAAATTTATTTAGATGAAAATAATTTTATAAATTAACATATTTTTTGCATTTTTCATTTTTTATTTCCTTTATATATAAAGGAAAGGTAAAAATATCTGTTATATTTGAGAGTGACAATTTGTTTTGTCATTATCCTTAATATTGAATAAATTCTATAACTTCTTAATATTACTTACTTGTAACTTTTCAATAATTTCTCTATATTAGTTTCTTTTCAATTTACACATTTTCTACAAATGACAAAAAAACTTAAAAGATAAAACAGTATATATATTTGAGTTAATGAAATATATGAATTTGGTTTATCCTTTCATATATTTTTAAAATATATTTTAATTTAAAATAAATCTAAATACTACATTTTAGACATTAAAATTGTTTTTCAAACTATTAGTTAGGTATTATTTTTTTCTTCAAATTTAAAAGACTGTAATAAAGAGAAGTCCATGTTTAATTTTAATTTGTGAAATTAAAAATATAATTAAGAGAACACAAAATATTTTGATATCTTCTATTTAATAATATAATATTAATTTTAAATTATTTATAATTTAATTAAATCCTTTTATGATTATAAAATAATTTGATTTGTCTAATAAATATTTATATTTTTGTCATTGTCAAAATAACATTTTATTCTGGAAAAAGGAAGAGAAAAAAAATTAAAATATTTTAATTGTTAATGTTGACTAATTTATTAAATGTGCTAATTAATATATATATATATATATATATATATATATATATATATAATAAATGGGTGAAATGTAAGCATGTTTAGAGTTTGGTGTCATTTAGATAAATCTCAGGGTAGTTGAGCATAATCTTCTCAATTATATTCATTACTCTAGAGCGTAGTAAATTTTTAAATTGAATTTTTAAGATTACATAGTTGTGGGGAATTAATTTTGAGAGAGAAAGGAAACATTAATTAAAAATGGTTTGGTTTGTTTTATGTTCTCTCTTGGTCTTGTTCTATATATTGTGTGATCGTGTTGTGGGACCACTTTGCCCAGTCAACTGACCAGGACCGTGACGCATTGTCAGCTCTAATTCAATCATCACAAACTCTCTTTTGTCGTTTTCTCATCACTCACTCTCTGATTCAATCTCTCTCTCTCTTTTATTACTTTCATCTTTCTTCTCCCACGTAAACAACGACCCTTGCATACATACACACTAATTAATATCGCATCATTTTTTTCTTCAAGAGGTGTTTTTTCATGGAGTTTATTTTCATCCAGTAACAAAAACATTTTAGCTTTTAAAAAACACAAATATTCAAAGAATTTTTTTTTTGTTAACTTTTATTTCAAAATAATCTTCATAAAAAAACACAATTAAACACCAAATATAACGGTTTTTATTAATCAAAATTCAAACATTCATTATTCAAAATGAAACCCTTTTCTTATCTCCATTCCTACTGATTATTGAAAGATATGTTGATTATTTTTTGTAATTTTTTAAAGAAAACCAGTAGAAGTTAAACAACGTAAAGGGTCTATGGATATTCCTCACTCTTAACCATCTTTATAATTTTCTATGACCTTTCATCATAATCGTTTAACTTTTAGTGATTTCTTTAGGACATTTCTGAGAAATATTTTATAAAAATTTATAAACTTTGTGAAATAGTATTATTTTTAAAGAATATGCTAATCAAATACTCATTTAAAATTAAGATTATATTTTTCAAACAAAAATAAAGTAAGAACAAGTAGTTTATTCTAAAAACAAAACTAAAGCTTGATATCAAAAACTTACATTAATGTTGTAAAAGGCTATCAACAACAGAAGTTTAATTAAAACCATACCGTTAAAATAAAGTGTTTCCAACCAAGCAATTGGCATTATATTTTCATCTAGATCTTCCTTTTAATTCCATTTCTTATTATGATAAAAAATTAATTATGTTATTAATTAAAGTTTAAGTTCAATGATTTACCTCGAATTTGATGTCAGTAATTTAAATAATTCAACATTTTTATTAAATGTAGAAACTCAAATTAACGGATAAACTAAATTGTACAATAAAAATATAATTTTGAAAAAAATAAGGGCCAAACAATTAAGCATTATTCTGTAATCTTTATTTATGTACTATAGCAGGTATTATGGAAACAAATTTCATTGTGAATATTGCAGCAGCACCCTACAATAAATTGCCAACATATATAAATGGAAGGCATCAATTATGTGTGTGCATATTTCTGTATAGAAATTTATGGATGATTCAGACACTGAAGAGTAAATTGGGCAAAGGAAAAATCTGTTGTCCATAGAAAGTGCAAACAGTTATCTTAAACCATTAATTTAATTAGTAGTTAATTTAATTAAGACCATAACCCTTCACAACATCCATGAATTAGTTTGCTAATTGAGTTTAATTTCAAAGCTAATTGTGCAAAAAAGGAAGCACCGCTTTGTAATGAACCATTGAGCAAAAATGGGGAAAGTACAAACGGAAAACAATTCTGTGGGCAGATAGATACAGTATTATTGTATGGTACATTTATTTATTTAGAGAGAGAAAGAGAGTGTGTGTGAGAGAGAGAGAGGAGTATATCAGAAGCTCACTGCTTCGCTGATTTTGAGGCATGCAAGAAGAGAGAGGAATCGTACTGCACAAGTTTCACACATCTTCTCTCTTTTTTTACTGCATTTGGGACTCTTCACTCTTCTTCACACCTTCATCTCTGTCAAGTTTCCATAGCACAGAGAGAGAATCGGGTGGGTTGATTAGTGGTTTTGTTTTCCTTTGCCTCAGATTCTTCTTACACGTTCTTCCTTTTCACTCTGGTTTTCTTGCCCCTTGTCACTGATTGTACCATTTGGCTGTTTTCACTTTGGTTTTGTTAGTGTGGGGCTTTGTTTGCAGTTGGTATGCTCATTTATCTTTCAATGGCATAAAAAAGTTTGGATTTTCCGGGGTTTTTAATTCACTTTTTGCATTTGGAGTTCATGGGGTGAAATAAAATAATGATTGTGTTTGGCTTCTTTACTTGTATTTTTTTGTTTCTCTTCTGGGTCTCTGGGGAATCTTAGGATTAGTATGACATGTGTTCCAAGTTGTGATTTTTATTTTGCCAGGTGTGGTTACTTGTGGAGCATTGTTTGCGGTTTGAAATTGGTTGTGTTTGTGTCGTGCAGGTGTTTTGAGATAATGCTGAGGAAGAGGAACAGGTCAGTGCAGAAGGAGCAACACCACATGAGTAATCTGACACAGAGTGAAGCCAATTCAGAGCACTATTCTCAAACTCATCATGCTTTGGGGCGCAACAACATCAAGGGCCACTCAATTTTCAATGTTCCTTGTCTGTTTGTGGGTTTAGGTCCAAACGGGTTGTTGGATTCTGATTCAGTTAGGAGTCCCACTTCTCCACTTGATGCTAGAGTTCTTTCAAATCTTGGCAACCCCGTTAGGAAGCCAAGATCTTCACCTCATGAAGGGCACCCAAGGAGTTGGGATTGTTGCAAAGTAGGTCTAGGCATTGTGGAGTCTTTGGAAGAGTCTTCTAGGTTTTCTGGGAAAATTCTCCAGTCACCAGAGAGTAAGAGGGTTAATCTCAGTTCTCAAATGATGATCAAGGCCCCAAATTGCCAAATCCATAGGGATTTTCTTGAGGGATCTAAGTCTTTACCCAAAGATTTTTGTAAGGCTCCTTATGCCCCCCGAAATGGATCTATTAACCACAAGGGTGAATCTGAGTCCACTGTTCTTTTTGAGATTGGGGAAAGTGGCCTTGAGCATGAACTGTTTGGGAGAACCAGGTCTTGTTCATTGGACTCATGCAGTCAACTGAAAGAGCTCTCTGGCTTAAACACTTCCTTCTCTGATTCAGACACTGATAATTTTGCTGTGAAAGATGTGAGTATCCAATTGAGCTCTCCTCCTCATTTTAACGGGGGAAGCCAGAAATCAAATATATTCCCACCTACAAAGTTGAACACAAACACTCTTTCCATTAGCTCTTCCAATGAATTTATTAAGTCTCTGTCTGCTAGTGAGATTGAACTCTCCGAGGACTATACATGTGTGATTTCTCATGGCCCCAATCCCAAAACAACTCACATTTTTGGGGATTGCATTCTAGAGACTTATTCTAATACATTCAAAATCCATTCTAAGAACGAAGAGAAGGAGATGGGAGTTAACCCTATTGCTAACAGGGTAGGGAGTTCCAACCCATATCCCTCGAGTGGCTTCTTGAGTTTCTGCCACCACTGCAACAAGAAACTAGATGAGGGGAAGGACATTTATATTTATGGGTGAGTTAGCACTTGGCACAACAACATTCCTTCTTTTTTGACTCATTGCACATTTGTTATTTTTCACAGTCAAGATGTAATTTTAAGAAGCTAATAGTTATAACTTTTGAACATGCTATCAGTGTTTGTTTTATGGATGTTGAATTTGGTTTTAAGTTTGGCATGGTTCGGTGTGTTGCAGGGGTGAAAAGGCATTTTGCAGTTTAACTTGCCGTGCCATGGAGATCATGATTGATGAGGAACTAGAGAAATCCAACACCAACCCTCCTTGTGAAAACTCTCCAAAGCCAAAACTTGGTGAGCTACTTTTTGAAACAGGCATTGTCACAGCTACATAAAAGGCTTATCTGCAACATGCACCACTTGGTCCATGAGAATGGTACACGCACCTGATCATCTGTTCAGAAGGAGCTGTCTTATGTGCATCTGTTAGCAGCCATGGATGATCGTTTTGTACATCACTGCGTTTACCTGGAATTGGTGTTTCAGCTTTGTCATGGTCTTTGATGAATTGTGGCTCCCAATAAGTTAGTTTTGTTTTTCATATAAATAGAGATATGTGTTATCAAACCATTGATAGCCTGCAGAAAATTGAAGGGTTGAGGCCTATTTTTCTGGCATCCCCTTCTGAATTTTCCTTGAGTTATCTCTATATTGTGTCAATGTATACAACAAAAAAAAAAGTTTTTGACTTCTATGATATATGCTATTATCCTAGTTTATACAACATCTTGCCTTTTTCTGAGTTTTAGGACTGCTGAATCGAGTGCTCGATCCTTTTTGGTCTTGAATATGCTTCATTTAGATGGTTCTTGCGATTCCTATTTTGGTAAAAGAATTGTCAAGTTTAAATAAATATGTTTTACTCATACTTCAAGAATATAACGTGTTATTTCTTCTGAAGGTTATTGAACGAACAAAATTACATTTTACTGATTCAAAACCAAAAAGAAGAATGCACTTTCTATGTTCTCAAATCCATAACATCTTTGTTTTCTGATATAACTTTAATGCTTAAAACAGGACGAGTGCTTTGGTCGAAGTGAGAACTCTGCATTGTCATTAAACTCTGCACTTGAGAAACAAATTAAAAAAAGATATATTACAAAGTACGAAATTTAGATGTAGTTGGTGAACTTCTTTTATTAGAATCGAAGTCTCATTTCAGTAATTTATTTCAGTCATTAATGAAATAAAATTTCAATTTTAATCCATAAAGATATTAAAAACATTTATGAAGTTGTGTTTTAAGTTTTGTCATAACATTTTCATTTTGACTTTTATTTGATATGTAAATGTCGTAGAAAAAACTGGCTTAAGAAAATATCTATATTATGATATTATCTTTGACAATAAGAAGATATTTCTTACGAAGCAGTTAAGATAACACAAATTGGTCTTATTAACAACCATAGACTTTCTTGCTACAAATGAGTCAAACCTATGTTAAAAATTCACCACTATTCACGTAAACAATCCATTAAACAATTGCATTTTATATTATAATAATAATTTTAACTTTTTATTAAGTTTATTAAATCTCTTTTATAATTATTATATTAATAAAATGAGTTGTTTTTGGAGTTGTTTTCTTAAAAGGTTGTCAATATATCATGGTTCTAAAATAAACTTGCAGAAACTTTCAATTGGAATAGGTGATAACTTCATTTCACACACGCACACTGAACTGAGATATAGCTTGCTTTGCTTTAGTCACTTGGTTTTATCATATTGTTAAAATTGGATTCCTCCATTAGCATGCCATCCAAATTTTGTTCTTCAAACTATATCGAATTTCGCTGATGTCTTTATTGACCCTAGTAAAACAAAACATTTCTCCTTGAAACTATTAGATCAGAGAGAGAGAGAGCATGCATGCAACATGCAACGTAAAAATGTTACGTAAAACAGTAGATCGTATATTTATTGAAAATGGTTGCTCGTTTATATATACACCGATGAGTCATGCATAACAGAAAAACAAAATATTATTTTTCTAACTTTGACTTAATACCCCAACATGCCTCCTTAAGTCAAAGTTGTATTTATATTAACAACTCCAACCGCATCTCTCAACCAAATGAATCTCTCAGCTTTAAAGGCTTTAGTAAAAAGATCTGCAAGTTGAATTTCTGACTTGCAATATTCAATAACAAGTTTTTCATTGCACACTTGATCACGAATGTAATGAAAACGTGTCTCGATATGTTTACTCCGCCCATGTGAAGCTGGATGCTTGGCTAAATCTATAGCAGATTTATTATCTACTAAAAGCTTCACCTTACATGACAGCTCCACCTTCAATTCTTGCAAACCGCTTTCAACCAAACCGCCCGACACGAAGCTTCGATGCGTAAATGTATTCGCTTCACATGAGGACAAAGCCACTACTGATTCCTTAGTTGAGTTCCACGAAATTGGAGCTCCTCCTAAGAAGAAAACATACCTCGCAAGTGCTTTTCCTATCTCCTTTATCACCACACCAATCTGAGTCCGAATACCCCATCAATTCCACTACCGTAGTTGCCGTTTCGAGTTTTGGAAATAAAATTCCGTAGCCCACTGTACCACGAAGATACCTCGGAATTCTTTTAGCCGCATACATGTGAGACTCCCTTGGATCTTGCATATATCTACCGATCAAGCCAACACTATAACTTAAATCAGGTCTGGAATTACAGAGGTACCTCAAACTCCCTACAATCTTGCGGTAGTTAGTAGCATCTACACGCTCTTCATCCTTACCAGGTGTAAGCTTCTGTCCTGTCTCTGCTGGTGTTACTGCAGAGTTACTTTCCATCATCCGAAATCTCTTCAAAACATCTTGTGTGTACTTTGTTTGATGCATTATCATTCCATGTTTTGTATTGGTGAACTCAATTCCGAGAAAATAATTGAGTTTACCTAAGTCACTCATATCAAATTCGTTAAACATTTGAGATTTAAAAACTTTTATCTGATCTGCACCGCTTCCAGCTACTGTAAGATCATCCACATATAGACATACTATCAACTTCTCACTTCTTATATCTCCATTCCAGCACTTCACATACAGACCATGTTCAGATATGCATCTGTCAAACCCAATTTGCTTCAAAAACTTATCTATTCTTTGATTCCAAGCTCTAGGAGCTTGCTTCAATCCATACAAAGCTTTGTTAAGCTTATACACCTTATGCTCCTGGCCTTTAACTTCGAAACCCTGTGGCTGTACCACAAACACTTCTTCTTCCAGAGGACCATTTAGAAATGCCTGATTTAACATCCAATTGATGCGGAATCCAACCTGACTTGAACTGCAATCGATACCACCATTCGAACTGTCTCAATTCAGCTACTGGTGCAAATACTTCACCATAATCTATTCCAGCTTGCTGTAGAAAACCCTTGGCCACAAGTCTGGCTTTGTACCGCACCACTTCCCCCTGTGGATTTACTTTGACTTTATAAACCCATTTCAAAGCAATGGGTCTTTTGTCATTAGGAGCATCAACTAATTCCCATGTTTGATTCTTCTCAATAGAGGCAATCTCCTCCTTCATTGCCTTCCACCAATTCTCATCAACTACTGCATCTTCGAATGTGAGTGGCTCAGCTTCAGCTATCAAAGCAAAATGAATTAAATTGCCTTCAGTAGTTACAGTAGAATCTGAAAATACTTCATAATCTTGCAGGTGTATTGGTCTCTGCACTGCTCTTGTTGATCTTCTCATCGGCTGGTTGTCATCTCTTCTCATTGATACCTGATTTTCAACACTTAGTTCACCTGCTGAAGAATCCACATCCAACATAATTCTGGTCTGAGATGTCTCGTTTGATGCTGACCCCCAGTTCCAGCTTGAGTCTTCATCAACAATTACGTCTCTACTGTACGAGACTTTGTTATTCTCAAGATCCAGCAGTTTATACCCTCCTGTTGAGTTATAACCAATCAAGATTAGTGGCACACCTTTATCATCCAACTTTCTTCTCAACTGATCAGGACAATGCTTGTAACATACAGAACCAAATATCTTCAAGTGAGCAACATTTGGTTTCATCCCACTCCATGCCTCCTCAGGGGTTATTCCATCTAACCTTTTAGTTGGAGCTCTATTCAAAACATAAGTAGCAGTCATAACTGCCTCACCCCACAAGTAACTTGGTAGATTTTTGCTTTTCAGCATGCACCTAACCATGTTAAGTAGTGTTCTGTTTCTTCTTTCAGCAGTGCCATTATGCTGAGGTGTATAGGGGGGTGTAACTTCCTGAACAATTCCAGTATTCTCACAAAACTCACGAAACTCTTGTGAGGTATACTCTCCCCCACCATCACTTCGGAGTATCTTTAACTGCAACCCACTTTGCCTTTCAACAAGACACTTAAACTTTTTAAATGTTTCCAGTGCTTCATTCTTCCTATTGAGCAAAAATGTCCACATTTTTCTGGTCAAATCATCTGTAAAAGTCAGAAAATATCTGCTACCTCCAGGGGTTTCAACTTGTATTGGCCCGCAGATATCAGTGTGCACCAGTTCCAACTTCTCCACTGTCTTCTGAGATACAAATTTGCTGAAGTTGTTTCTGGTTTGTTTACACTGAATGCACTCCTTGCAAACTTCATCAGGAGCTTTTATACGAGGTAAGCCTACCACCATTTTCTTTTGCTCAAGTTGACACAAGTCTCTGAAATTCAAGTGCCCATATCTATGATGCCATATCCATTCTGCTCTACTTTCTGCAACAGCAAAGCAGTGATGCTTCAAAGCATTCATTCCCACTCTAAACGTTCTGTTCTGTGACAGATTAGTCTGAATGATGAGTTTATTTGATTGATTAAATACACTCATGCAATTATCCTTCATTTTCATAACAAATCCCTTCTCCAGAAGTTGACCTAGACTAAGCAGATTTGTCTTCAGGCCTGGAACATATAGCACGTCTTCAACAACGACTTCTCTTCCTTCGTCATTTCTCAAAACCACTCTTCCAGTTCCTTGTGCTCGTTAAGCTATCGTTGTCGACAAACCGTATTTTCCCATGAACAACTTCTTTCATTTTTACAAACCAATCTTTTCTCCCGAGTCATGTGAGTTGAACAACTCGAGTCTAAGTACCAAGCAGCCTTCTTCTTTCATATCTGAAGACACCTGGGCCATCAACATTACCGCTTCGAATCAGATCCTTCATCTTGTGCAAGATTAGCTTGATTCTTGGGCTTGGTTTTCGCACCTTCTTTAGTGCCAACATTCACGGGCAAAGTGACCCGACTTTCGACGGTTATGGCACCGAACCTTTCGTTTATCAAACTTCCAGTGTTTTGTCCCCAGTAGACTCCCCTTCTACGCCACTCTTTTCAGCTTCTTCTTGATTTTTGCTTCCCTTCCACTCGTTTTCGATCTTTCTTTTCTCCTTTGAACTTGCCCTTGTAACCTCGTTCGACTTGTAACACCTCGCTCATGTATCGCTTTTCTTTCATAAATTCCGTATTCATGTGCTTCTAACGAGTGCTCGAAGCTCATCTATCCCCGGTGTTTCTAAGTCTTTAGTTTCTTCTATAGTTATCACCATGTGATCAAACTTGGAGGAAGTGATCGTAGAATCTTGTGAACCACTTGTCGCTCAGATGATAGGATCATTGCATGTCTTTATAGCATTTACCAACTCTTGAATCTTGTCAAAATAATCTGCAATGGATTCATTCTCTTCCATAAGAAGAAACTCAAATCTCCTTCTTAGTGCTCGTAACTTCACCTTCTTGTGTTTGTCTCCATCACCATAAGTTTTCAGCAAGATCTCCCATATCTCCTTGGTCGTTTTAGCCTTGCATATCTTGTTGAAGATCTTTGAATTTACACATTGATATAACAAAAATCTAGCTTTCTTGTCCAATTTTTGTCTGCTGTTTAAAGAACTTTTTCTCTTCTTCCGTAGCTTTACTACCAAGTTCTCCTATACCTTCTTGGATAATCTCTCGCAACATCTTGGAAACCAAACACTGCCATCATCTTGATTTTCCACTCGTCAAACATTTTTCCGTCAAATACCGGCAGCCCTCCTTGTATAATGCTCCCCATTCCAGTCATGTTCCCCGCAACTTTCTTGTTAGCACCACCAAACAGATTCTTCTCTCTCGCACTTTCTTGATAACACAAGAACCAGCTCTCTCCTAACCGACACACTTCTTGAACCTTTTAGTCCGATGCTCCAAGAATACCACCTCACAAGAAACCGACCTCACCAAATCTCCTTGCTCTAGATACCATATTAGATCAGAGAGAGAGAGAGCATGCATGCAACATGCAACGTAAAAATGTTACGTAAAACAGAGACTGTATATTTATTGAAAATGGTTGCTGTTTATATATACATCAGCGAGTCATGCATAACAGAAAAACAAAATATTATTTTTCTAACTTTGACTTAATACCCCAACAGAAACTAGTTTAATCATTCATGGACAAGTACGATTTATGTGAAAAAGGTGAAACTTCACGTGATTCAGAAACTAAATCACTCGATTAGAAACATAGGAATCAAAGTAGTAACATGAAAGCAAGGGAATCTGCATTGAAACCTTTATCAATTTGGACCCCAGTAACTTGCGAACACCGCATAACATTTGAACGTTTATTTTTTACCAAAAACTTGGCGGAAATTTGAACTTGTTTCATAAGGATGACATTTAAGACTAGAAAAGGTTATTATTTATTATACACCCCATAATGTAATAATATGTTAAGTTTTTATATGGACGAATAAGAGAAAATAAAACTTTTCTAATGAAAAAACACTTTTTCAAAGAGTTAAAGTTTATGAACGTGATTAAAAGATAAATTTTCTAGATTTTAGCAATGCAACAGAGTATTTTCCAAACCTATCTACTGCTTCATCTAGGCAAATTGAAATTGAATTTTCAATATAACCGAACCTGATTTTACGTTTGTTGTCAATCTTATAGTTAATTATGACTTAATAACAACTTCAACTATCCTTTGAATGTTAAAATTTGCTAGTTACATACTTTATATGTAAAAACATTCAAATATAAATCATCAAATATTCTCATTTGAAGCCATTCCCATATTTACCAGCATCACAATCTAGCTGTTAGTTTTTCTTCTTTTCCAGTTTTATATCTCATTGTTTTCTGACTAGTTTTTACTGCCTAGATCATCATTTTCTTAAAACTTTAGGACCTCGTTGTCATTAAGACCACGTTCATCAGTGCCCTAGTTCCAAAACAAAAAATAATATATATATATATATATATATATATATATATATATATATATATATATATATATATATATATATATATAAAACTTGACATTGTATCACAAACGAACATTACAGAGTGAACACTGGAACACTAAAACTAAAATGATAAACGTAACTAATTTGCCCCCAACCCACATGATAAACTGTTTTCTTCTTGGATGTGACCTGGCCTGCTTGCAGTTGAAATAAAATTTCAGCCTCATGTTTGTCGTGTGTTGTAGGATTTGCAGTTTAAGCACTTTTGAGCAACAAGATGGAACTGGACGTGAGAACTTTTACCACAATCATTGCAAAGGATCCAAACCTGTTAGTTAATATCACCGTTAGTTCTTCACAAATCAGAAGGTAAGGTAACTTTTAAATTAACTACTGATTCATTTGCCTAGTCACAACAAAGCATCAATAAATCAAGGACTAGATTTGTTGTTGCATAGTTTATTAATACGAACAGTATGCAACACTATCACACGTAAAGAGAAAATAAAAATTGATATACTGACCATTTTGTTTTGATATGGTTCAGGCATTGGTGTAGCAGCAATCTCCAAGTCAAATTTCTCCCAAATCTTTGACATGTCATAAACTGACTTAGAGCAGAGAGGGCATGTATACCTGACGCAGAATCAAAAACAAAAATAAGCACATGTACTGCAATAGGAATTCCAGCAGATAGAAATGGACAAGAGCTCTGTGATACTCACTGGAGATGTTCCCTCATTTCCTTCAGGCAGATCTTATGTATTGTATGTCCACAGAGCAAAACAGTGACATCATTCACAGATTCAAACAAATACTGTAATCACCAAATTTGTTGCACTTTGTCAAGTCAGCAACAAAACAAACAGGCAATAGTCACGGAGCTGCTGAAATAAGAAATCTGTAAAATATTACCTCGAAACAAATGGGGCAATCATGATGCATTGCCCCTTCTACGCAAGGGTGACTGTTTTTCAGCTGAGTTGGATAGCAACAACCTGTGACTAGAAATCATGATCAGTATGTAAATCATGTTAAAACCATAGTGTTGACATTTAGCGATATTAAAAAACATAGGATACAAACAATTTTACTTACCACATTTGTAGCAGTGGAAGAAATTTTCATATCCTCCAGTTCTGTATTAGAACACATCAGAATCAATCAGTCTGAATCTTGATACAAAATACAGTCAATCTAACAATGCAAATTACTCTGAAGTGTCAATCTACATAAAGAACAGGCACAAGAAGCAGGTCTAACCCTTAAATATTTGACAGTTCATACCTGCATATTCCACAGCCACTGCAATGATATTGCTGCTTAGATACCTACACGAGATAAAATATAAAAGACAGTTTTTTTTTTTTAATAATCTAACACATTCTATCCAACAATTATGTGAAAAGACTGTCAGCCCTAACATGCAACACAATGGAAATCAGGATAGTTAACAGTTCTTATAATCAATCCAACATCGCTCACCAAACCACTTACAAAAAGTATAGAGAATAGAGACTGGCTATCTCACAGATAGAATAAATAGATATAAAGATAAAAAAACACAATACAAAAATAAAATAAAATACAGTTCCAGGATCAAGCACTTACATCATCATCAAAGAGCTTACATGTCCCACAGAAGTACTTGCCCATACAAACACCACAGTTAATGCAGTTTTGCTGAACCTGGAAGCAATATATATTGACACAAGAAAAAAAACTACTTTCATGGCATATTCTAAATATCAACATTCATAATGATCTTATAGACGGTTTGACAAACAATAAATGAATAGTTCAGTAGTTTCAACCTTAAGGGGCACATCGCCCTGTTATATCTTAAAAGATTGCAACAAAACCAGTAACTGTTTATTAGTTGACCAAACCATCTAAAAGATATTTCATAAAGTAATAAGCTATAAAATTCCTTTCAACAATGTATCTTATGTTCCTTTCTAGGTATTCGAGTGCTCTTGTATGCTGTCAAGTCATTAATAATAATAAGGATAAATTTGGTTCATTGGTAACATTGTTTTAGAAAATTTGAGTTAAATTACGTCTAATTATTTTAATTAGACCATAATTAAAATAAATCATATTTTATCCTTCATCAAAACATGATCACATTTTCAAAATTCCATAAATACATTTTGGATCGGATCGGGTGTTCCATATTATCCAGAAATATAATATGGAACACCCATATTATATTTCTGGATCGGGTGTTCCATATTACATTTCTATACCAACCAATTTGAAAATACATTTCGAAACAAAAATATTCTAGAACAGTCAACTAGAAATATATTTTGGAACAAGAATATAAGTTTGGATTTACTCTTTTGAAAATGTATTCCGAGAGCGTTTTTGGTCGAAAGAGAAGAAACTTTTAGAGTTTCAGACAAAAATTAGAAGAAACTTTTAGAGTTTCAAACCAAAAATTATTGAGAGTATTTCAATCATTTTACATGGGTTATAGGGATGCAAGAAAAAATGATGGAGGTGCAGGAAGGAGTTTTAGACATTAGCAGTCAGTGTTTGGTTTTTGTGTTGAAGCCGGTGCTTCACGGGCCACTTCTCTATTATTTGACAAAAGCTTATTTAATCCATCCAAATCAAGTATTAAAGCTTCCATCACAATTAGCATACCATTGTGGAAGATTAAACTGAAAGATAGTAAGAAAATCTAAACTCACCTCTTGTTCGGTCCCACAAAGTGAACATATAACCTGGATATGTCGAGTTACTAATTAACACTGTCTCAATAGTGAAATAATAAAGGGAAATGGAGCACAAAAAAGTTGATTAACAAGTAAGTTACGTTAAACTCAATGAGCATACCTGTTTAACTTGATGGCGGGGAATATCGTGTCTAAGCTTCTGATCAATGTTGATATTATTCTAGCAAAAAAAAACAAGAAAACAGAGCACCCAAATTAAAAGGAATGCTAAACATAAAAGTTATATATCAGCTTGCACATTGTTTATGAGATAGGATCATACATGAAAACCACAAAAAAAAAAAAAAAAAAAAAAAGTAGGCTGAATTGACTGCCATTTGCTGTCCCAGTTTAAACAACCTTTTCTCGCAGGCAGGGCCACAAAATGAACGGGCAAGAAAAATTGAAACCAGGTTATTCTTGTCGTTCGATCTATGCATATTGTCCCAATTACAAGAAATCAAAGAAAAATTTCTTAAGATATGTCTTGGAATATGAAATAAGATGGAACCTTATCATTTATGTCAAGAAGACAACATTCGAATAAAAACAAGTATAGTGAAATATTAGGATGGGGAATTAACTAACTTTTGCCTCATTGTGACAATGGCGGCAATCAAAAACCTCATTGCAACAGGGGGCCCTAATACGGCATCTTCTGCGGTAATGTTGACATCTGCAGGACAAACCAACATCTTTTACAAAAGAAAAGGGAATGCAAAAACATAAATCGAATTAGTGTGGGAATATAGACTTTACCCATATTCCATATATCCTCTCTCTCGCAAATTACTGATCTTTTTGTGATCTGTTAATTGACTTGATTCTTCTCCAAGTATGTCCTCTTCGTTTGATGGTAGATCATACACATCTTTCTCAGTCATATGCTTAATGTCATTGCAGTCAAATGGCAGAGTCTCAGAGTGCAATACTGCCACCACTCCCATGATGCTAGTAGCTATCTTCAGATAAGGTTATAGGCTATATAGAAACAGGAAGTAAGCCTGATGACCTGCATGCAAGAAAGTATTTAGAAATAAGCCCAAAACTTCCAAAAGGCATATGTTGTCATCCCATCAAACCAGTAAACACTGAATGCACTGTTGCTTTCTTCCACACTGCTGAAGATCAATTGAAAGCAGCAACAACAAAATTGAATTCAGGTTGGCCAGCTCCAATCAGTAATACTCCAAGAGGGAACACACTAAAACAAGTATACAATAATTCCACATAAACCAATAGACTGCAACCAATAGAATGATCACTTGATTTCTTGAAGAACTTCTGGAACCAAGTCCCACTTTACTGGAGCCAACCAATTGACATTCCAACCTATGTTAAAAGCGATAAATCACTCTATTAAATATGCCTTCGACATAATGAAGAAAGAAATATGTCTTAATTTTATTGTCCATGAAGGACAGAGCCTACCTTACTTGGCTGGTCTGCATGACTCCTCCAAGAACTGAAACTTACTAAAAGCAAACACTTAAAAAGGTTACATTTTCAATTGGTCCCTACCTCACTAAATTTTTCTGCATAACTCTTCCAAGAGTTGAAATTTACCGTGGTAATTCTTAGATAGAGGATCTTAAGCTTGATTCATCTAACTGTTGTGAGGTTTGCACCAACTTATATTTGCTCATTAAACCTTATAAGCTATAAAACACTTCTAAGGTCATAAGACCAAATAAACCCCCTTCAAACACTTGCTTAGAAGTTTTCATACAGATTCGATTGGCTAACACCATTTAGACTTCATTAATGATTGTTTAAAGTCTCTGCAGCCCTTTCTGTGACATTTCTATAATTGACTTTATTATAAAATTATTGCAGTATAAAATCTTATCAAAATTTTACAAACCAGAAAATAAAAATCTTGTCAAAATTTTACAAACAACAAAATGTCTATTCGAAAATTCAACGAAATTAAAGGACCAATAATTTAACTTATTATTAAAATTTCATGCAAACCGTGATAGATCCCTTTTGATAAAATTAAATTTTTTCTTCTTTTTGTCAGTTTACTTGGCAAAGTATTAATTCAAGGTCATATGGCACTTTGCAAAAGGAAGGTTCACACTACTCCAAGGATTACTCCATGTTTAAGATTCAGAAACATGAAGTTCTTGTCCATATTCCAAATAGGTTGGTCTCTAATAGAAAACTTGTCGAGATCCTCAGATGAAAGGGGATGGAAGAAAAATAAAATAAAATTTAAGGTTGGTATTTTCTTGATGAGGAATGCTAATAGTCCTAGCATTCTATTCCTAAGACTTGGTTAGAGTTTATTAAAAATAATAATTTTCAGTGGTTCCATTTCTAAATCAGGACAGAAAAATAAGTCAGACTCACCAGAAAGTGTGACTTCTAATTAATTCCAACTAATAATAGAAACAACAGCTGAAGCATCAAGCCAACCCTTTCACTGTTCATAATGGCCAAAGAAAAAGATGCATAATCGTCATGAATTATGCAAAAGGAAACTCCATAAAATGCTTCAACCAAACCAAATTCAAATCATATATCGCTTTTGGCGAATAAAAGGTATTATAGACAAACTACTGTAGACAATAGGTAAGGATACAGCAAAAAAGATGTGCTTTAGGGGCAACTCTACCCTTCATAAATAAAGGGATAAATGTTTGTTGAAGCAGAATCTATATATCTCTCGGGACTCAATACCTCACAGAATCTTCACTGCTGCACATACATGTATCATCATACAATCTGAATTATATACACAACAATAACATAACCATGCAAGAACCCAGTTCAAGTCCAAAACTAACAGGCCATAAAATCATCAAACACAACAAAAGAACACAATCACACACATTTAAAATTGACAACATTAATTAAACCAAGTGAAAAATTCGTGACAGTACAAGAAACTTTGGAGTCGAAGAAGAAAGTGGTGGGTGATCCAATTCCAATTATAGATACCACGAAGGCAAATAGGAAGCTGCAATTGGTATCTCTCCCCTCACCCAGCAGAAGAAGGATACAGAGGAGGAGCACAGAGGAAGAAAATTGGGAATGACATTGAAATTTATAGGCCGCAATTCTGTGCGTGTCCTTCCAAAACTTTCCTTCTGCCAAACTTAACTTTTGTTCTTAAAATTTTGTTTATATATAAATTAATTTTTAATTTGTGTTTAAATTTTATTTTAATTTTTACAATTTTTTGTTTTAATTGTTTATACAAAATCAAGTATTATGAAGTGAGTTTAGAAAGGACACGTAGCAGGTCAATTTTGACGTGTCAGTAGCAGAACTCTTTCTTGATGACACCACCGACCCTCGGACATGGTTGGTTTGGCTAATGTCGGTGATGAATATTTTTTATAATTGTTATTTAAAAAATTATCCATCGGATAAAGTTTACACTATATATATATATATATACAAACAATTGAACAATATTTTTTAATATTTTACTTTTCTTCTCTCACAGCCAACAAACTATTTTCTCTAATATAACTCAAAATTTCATATTGATCCGTTTTTGGTAAAAAAAGTAAAATGTGAAAAATATATGTTTAATAATATTAAAATTCTTCAAATAAGATAAAATATAATTGAAATTAATATCATAAAATGTTTTTCTTCTTATTTAATATACCATTAAACACTTCAAAAATTTTCTATTGTTATTTCTGGTAGGTCCTAAGAATTAATTTAAATTATAATCATTTAAATTTATCAAATTGGTTTGAAAATAAATTTTAGTCTACAAAATATATCACGTGCAAAAGATTACGATAAAAAGATATGATTCTCAATTTTTAATTCAATGAACTATTTTTTACTATCAGTTTGATACCTGAATAAGTAAAAATAAACTTATTTTTATTTTATTTTAAAGAGTTAAAAGAGAAATGTCATACCAAGAGAGAATAATTTTCAGATGTTCATGGATCGATGTTGATAGAGAATCTACTTGGATCAAATGAGTGTCATGGAGGATGAAATTATTGTAACACTCCTAAGAACATAAGAAGATTATCAAGAAAGTAAATTTATGAATATAAAAATTATTATCTTTAAGTAATTGATAGTAACTTCATGGAGACAATTTTTGAAACTTTTGATAGAGTTCAGTAAAAGCCATTTGGAATCATACGAAGAAAAAATAAGTTAAGAATCTACAAAGGTGAAAATGACTCTACTGGCAGCTCTAAAGAGAGTACTTGAGATTCTTAGTATAAAGGTGGATATATTTGTGCATGAATATTTTGCAATTACATCAACTATTGTAAATAAAATACAGACACATGGTGAGAAGATGAAACAAGTTACACACAATATTTGCTTATTTGGTCTATTAAATCCAATAAATTGAAGATGTTCAAACCCAGAGATGAATTGTAAATATTTTGTTGTTTCATGAACAAAGAATGAGAGGGCACAAAAGGGAAGAACCAGTCTTCAAGGTCACAAACTTTTGGTAGTTCAAGAGATACAGAGAATAGTAGATTTTGATAAGAATTTAAGGGAATATTTCAATTATCACAAATTAGACCACTTTCATGAATGGCAAAAAAAAATGTAAATTATGCAGAGAATAAAATATTTCTCATGTTTTTAGTAATAACAAGAAAGAAATTGAAGAAAATAATACTTTTCTTGTCTGAGGTTATAATAATAACATGTGTAACTTGAATGAAGTGGTTTATATTGACTGGATTATAAAAAACATGTCAAAAAAAAAACAATATATATAAGTTGAGAAAAATTTTCATTACCTAAAACAAGTTTTTTGACTTAGAAACATATTTTAACAATTAAGATTTAAAAAAAATATTTTCTTAAAAATGATAAGAAAATATTTGATGAATTTGATAAGTTTCACATGAAAAATATTAAAAAAAGAAATATTTCTTATAAAAAAATATGTCATGAAAAGGTTTGGTATACAAAACAACAATAGTTAAAAATATTTTCTTGAAAATGATAAGAAAATATTTGATGAATTTGATAAGTCTGTATAAAAAGAGTTTCACATGAAAAATATTAGAAAAGGAAATATTTCTTATAAAAAAATATGTCATTTTGGTATACAAAACAACAATAGTGTGACTAGTTTTATGGTGTTTGAATATTAGTTTTTCAAAAAATGAAAAATAAATATTTTTAAAACATATATATATATATATATATATATATATATATATATATATATATATATATATATATATATATAAGCTAAGATGTATTTAGTTGTTTCAAAATGAACCATTAAAATATGGTAAAAAAAAAAAAATTAAGAAAACAATCTAATAATCTATTTGGACAATGATTATGTTAGAGATTGTTAATAAGAAAAACACTTTAAGGTATATTTTAATGTTTAGACCAAGTGTATGTCATATTCTTTTAAGAAGCAACTTGTGGTTACTTTATCTACTATTAAGATTAAGGTCTCATGTTTTGTCAAGATATATCCTTAAAATGATACTTGAAATTTATACCCATTCAATAAGAACTTACTATTTTATTTTGTGACTGTAACTCAACAATTATGTTTTTAATTTATCTAGACAGGAGCAAACATATATTTTCTAAGATACCGTAACAGTGATGGTATGTTTAATTTAGTGAAAGATAAGTTTTAAGATAAATTCTCAAGTGATTAAGCCATTAAAGTCAATTGTTTGATAATATTAAAAATATATAAATTAATATAACATAATGTAAAATGATTTTTTTATTTAATTAAATATTCTTATTTTATCGTGTTTAATATAAATTTTAATGAAAATGTTATGTATGAAGAAGTCCTAGGAAGTAAGAAATCAGTTTAATACATGACAGGGTCCTAGATATGAATAATTAATTGGTTTGAGTACTCCAAACGAAAGAGAAAGTGCCTGCATGTCTGTGCGTGCCAAGTGTAAAGGTTTAGTTTATCATGTTCCCAATGAGTTTCTTGAAAAAGATAGCTTTTGCGTGTATCAATCATTGAAATATTTATCTAATAAATTATGAATGCTGAAAGGACTTCTGTAATCACAGATCAAATAATAGTGTTGGAGTTTTGATTGTCATTTTGAAAAGGATTACTAGCTAAAAATCTCAATGTATGAAAAACATGATTATTTTTTTAAAATAATTTTACAATAGTTTCTTTGAAACATCAGTTAACGTATGCAATCATTTTATATTCACACACATGCATTGTTCCGTAATTTTACTCAGACTAACTTATACACAACAGTTTCCTGCAGATGCGTGAAATCGAACTAAAGTTTGTTAATGTAAACTGTTTATCATATATTAGCGACACAACAAATGTCTTAGTTTTGGTTTGCGTAATTACTATTTCGTATATAAAGATTGAGTAACCGGAGCAAAATTTTATGTTGTACATTAAATCGATACTTTTGGCTATTTGTCTTTTAGTACAACTACAAAAAATTAGTATGATGCAATGCTACCGGGTCTGATATACTGTCTGTTCTGGCCATAACGTCTTTATTAATCAGATGCAGGGAATAAAATATATCAAGGATATCATTTTATTTTTCTTTAATTTTTTACCCAATCTTCATAGACAAGAGTAAAGCAAATTCTCGTAGTGAAGCGTGCTTCTAGCAAGTTTTGCGTAGTTTGATTTTTGGTGCTTTAGCACAAAGCTAAATACGTACAATCTTAACAAAATATGATCGATGCACACAACAAAACCTAATTTAAACTAATATATATATATATATATATATATATATATATATATATATATATATATATATATATATGTGCAAATTCTACTTACCCTTTTTATTACACTTCTTTGATAAATTCTAAGAAAACCCTTGAGAGAGAAAAAAATAACTTTGAAATTTCAACCGATATGAAACTGTACAGATGGAGACAGAGGAATTTTATTTTCGTTTTTCAGATAGTAATATCTCATCTAATGATGCTCTTGTTGAACGTTTTACTGATTGACATCTAACTATTTATCACCTGTGTAACCTACACCAAGAGACACCATAACCGAAATTGCAGGGAGCGGTGAACCACATGAAAATCTACTTCAACAATTATCGAATCAATTGAGACATATCAAATTCATAAATGATGTATGGTGAAAATCAAATATGAAGTTGAAAATGCCTATTAGTGCACTAGTTTAATGACTCCATACATACAGGTGCCATGAAACCACCACCCCAGAATTGGCGATTGTAGCACAGAAGTCAAAAGATCTCCTGAATGATTAACAAGATGTAGATTTCAATGCAGCTTAAAGCTTAGTGAGAAATGCATCTAACCAAGGAATATCTACAAAGACCCATCATCAAGCATGAATAACTTGGATTCTTATCTGTAGCCACCTTCAGAGGGCATGCTGATACAAAAACAACAGACCAAATTCCCAATTACAGTCAGCAGTCAGAAGACCAAGAACATTCAAGTTAGTTAAAAGGAACACCAACAAGGAATATCTACTAAGTGATATTAGGTTACAAAGATTATAACCCATTCTGGTCAGCCTAGTAGTATGGGATTTAGGTAGCTTGTATGAGGGTCTAAATTCATATCTTGTTGTCATTATTCTACACACAAGCGAGGTATAGTGAATATAAAGCAAAGCATTAAAATAACAGTGTTATTTTAGATTTGAGAAATATTTACTTACACTGATAGCATGGTGATTTGATCTGCAAAACACTTTAAAGTCTGAATGCAAGTTCAGAACCTCAACATGACCCTGACTGTTTTGTTCCTTCTCATTTCTTTTGGCTCTCTGGAGTTCATCCTCCCCGAAGTACTGAAAGCATCTGACGGTATATTGAGCCTGCCAAATAACAGCCTCAAATATGCATTAGAGAAGCTGCCTCAAACATCCAATAACCATGGGTCAAACTCCACCTGCACTGTATTTGGAAGGTCAAGAATCTTTTAGCCTACTTGAAGGAAACAATGCATATGGAAAAAAAGATAACACATTCGTAATTGAGTTTTAATAACAAAAATCTTGCCCCCTCCCTCCCCGACAACACACCCCAAAAGAAAAGTAAAAGAAAAGAAATAAAAGAACATCGACATACAAATAAAGGTTTGGACCATAGGTACGTAGCACTTCAAGTGTGATACTTCTGCAAAAGAGTCTTGTGGTTTCATGAACTGAACAGTGGTTGAATGGGTACCTCCTTAAAAGCAAGATTATATCATTTTTTTGACATTGAAAATTGATTGCTCAAGGATAACAAGTCACAACATAGCCTCAAGTCGGTAAGCATAAAGAAGAGCTTCAACCCGAACATAGTCAATCTATTTTCAAAATGGGTTAGTCACTCGATGCGCTGAAAAAGCAGAGGATTTTCAGCAATTTGAGAACTCAAATCAGGAGATATAGGCTGGAGCAATCCATTGTTGGACAGGTCTTCCAAGGCCTTTGCGTCTTGTTGCAAACGGGCCATATGGAGAATGGTATGGTCCAGAACTAGTGAATCATCAGGAGGATTTTGGAGAAGGGTGAGCAAAGCCTGTTTATAAACTTGAGCAGACAATGATGGTTTTGCAACCTGTCGATTTCTACAGAAAGTTGCCACCTTGATGACATGTTTACAGAGGTTTCCCAGCCTAGACCATGAACAATCACACAGTGAAAATTCTGAACCAGGATTCCAAACTGTATATATCAAGCTTCTGTCAGTCTGGGATAAAACTTTCGCAAGATGGAGATTTTGCTCGTCCAAAATCACATCAACATCAGGAATATGAAGAGCATGATACCAAGCATTAGAGGAGAAAGAATTGTCCCGTAGATTCTCAAAATACCCAGTCTCTAAACTGTACTGGTCTAACCAGTACAACGAGTGAAATTCAGTAGTTAAAGCATGGATTAACCAGTCAACTCTTAGCCAGAAATTAGCATAATTCTCTTTCAGAAGCATAGATTTTAATTTTAGGTGATAGGATTCTATTGCAGCATGGGGCTCAGGGGTTGTCGCAGGGAGTGATTTTATGGCATTAATCCACATATCTGCATGAGAAAGCACAACAATAAGATTATTCAAGAAACAGAATTAATTCTCAAAATACTCAAAGGACTGGATACTCTACTAATTATAATGAAAATAATTGGTCAGTTGTAGAGACGCCAATTCAACTGTTGCCCAACAAAACTTAAGGAGCTGATCTGGATGTGAGACTGAGAATGAAATGAATTGGGTATAAAATCTGAAGCAGATTTTTCAGATAAAAACTGATTATGATGTGTGGCTACTACAGCAAGATCACATATTTCTTCAATGAATAAAAAATGAATCATCGATTGAACAATACCTATACTAGCTAGCCAATGGTTCTTGAAATAGTCCATGAAGGCACACTGGTCAACAAAAATTTGCATAAGCTCTTCAACAGAATCCATAGCATTTGGCCCACATTTTGTACAGTACAGTATCCACCCCAAATGCCTAAACATCTCCCGTTGAACCTCAAAGTTGCAGCATTTTTTGAAAAGTTTTTTAATCATAGTTCGGCGAACATGCCAAAAACATAATAGGATGCGACATTGGAATGCCTCTCTGCATTGAGTAAGATCTCATTCCAAGTGTTATTCAGGTGGGTCGCTAAAAAATACAAAAATTTTAATGAAACTAAAAAGAACCGCACTAATCTCGTTACCTTATGATAGAGAAGTCCAAAGATGGATCATCCAACAAAATAGCATTAGGCCTCCATCTGGGATCCTTGGTTCGTAGTCTTTCAGATAGCAATACAATCCATTTATGAATAGATTTACCAGCAAAAGATGAGGTGATGATCCAGGCTACCGGAATTGCATTTTGAGAAGAATTGAAAACAAGTAAAGAACATACAGGGTACTGTCAGGGACAAGAAAAAAAAATGTATAAGACATTTTAAATTGCTGCAATATTTTGCTGACATAACTTATTTTTCATAATAACAAAGAAGGCTCGTGCCAGTGTGTGTTAGTCATGATTATGTTGATGAAATTGGTTATTAATAATGACCTAGACGGATTCTAGATGTAAAATATATGTTTCTTCTAAATGTGTTTTTTTTTTACCTCTAAACGAGTTAAAGTTTATACCCTTTGGCTAGTCCTGATTTTTATGCTTAACTAAGTTAGTAATGAAATGTAAGCTCCTCGGTTGAAAAGGTAAATACAAGAGCAATGTGCAATACCTTGAGCTTCTTCAAGCCAAAACTTGAATGAAAAGAAATTAAACTATTATTTCCATAACGGAGCATTTGTTGCAGCTGCCAATCTGTCTGTATACCCAACACAAATGGTTCTGAAGCTATGTTATTTTGAAAATAGAAAACTTGCTTCTGGTGCCGTTGAACCCATACCTTTACACTGAATTCATCATTATCATGTAGCTCATGTGAAGAATTACGAATAGTCCTTTCCATGTTACGCACATCATTTCGAGTGAGAAAATCATCACGGTTTTGGGGCCCACCTTGCTTCTGCATCTCCTCTGCATGGTGCTGTATTATGTTGTCCAAAGATATTCCAACATGAAGCATGGACGTCACTTTTTGGCGTAACTCATCTGAAATTCGTGGAGCATACATAGCTCTTGTCCCCACCGCATCCCTGTCAAGCAATCCATGACACGGTGCCCCTGATTTATCTACATGCCTTCTTTGGTTATATATGATTAGCGCAAGGAGGGGCCTGGTGTACAGTCTTTTAACCGTGAAATGGCATAGGCACCCTCTCATCATGTGACGCCTCCCCGGCCTGCTACCCTTCCCTGAAGCAGGCTTGGTGCTTGTGCCATCCCCTACACCTGATTCACTCTCTCGGTAGTCTTCAGGACCATAAGAACACCAGTATCTAAATATCAATGCATAGTTTGATATTGCCAATTAGCCAAAACTTCAGATTTCAAATGAACTGAAGTTTAAATCACATAAACTATGAAAATAAAAAGATCCACAATTCGAGGGAAAAAATGAATTAAATAGTATATATATATATATAGAGAGAGATTTTATGAGACCTTCTAAGAGAAAAAAAAAAAAAAACTGAAATATGTTTCTCCATAAGCAAAACGGCATTTTCAACAAATTAGTCTCTACATAAGCTAATTTTAGCTATACATAAGCCATAGAAGTGTTTATGGATAAATTTCTCCAAATAGACCCATATTGCCATTCGATCTCAAACGGCCTTTTATCATAAGTTTGTTGACGTCTATAATAACTATCTTAAAATTCGTATCCGCCATGATTTCTAACTGGTTGAAATTAATGAAATTAAACCCAATTTAACTTCTACACCAACCGTACATAGAAATTAAACTAAAATATAGTATGTATATATTCATATTTTGTAAGATTGAATTGAAAGAAAACTAATCTTACAGTGTGTATTCAAGGTAACCATCCACCCTTGGTTTGGCAATGCTTCCTTCAGGTCTCTTCCTTCTTGATTCTATACGAAAACTCGCAGGACATTCGGGGTGGGAAGATTCCCCTTTGACAAAATCATCAACTCTGACAAAAGGAATCAGAGCAATATCATCACCACCTTGGCGACCACCTTCCAGTTTAAACCAATTTATGTGAGCAGCAGAAAACTCGGGACAAGGAGGGTCTTGCACAGGAAGGTTCAGAATGTCCTCCATTCTCGGCATCTAACATCACACCAAAACAAAATTAACTACTCACATAACACACCCATTTTCAATTCCAATCAATGAATTTTCGCTACAACCATTAACTACTTACGCTTTCAATTCAACCAATACCTAGCACATAGCATTATATTGACGCTTCATGGTTTTATCATCCACATTCTCGAAAATTAAACCGAGTGAATTCGTGTAAGGTATGTGAAATTTGGTTTACCTTGGTCGCATTCGCGTCAACGAAGGGGATGCAATGTTTTAGGATTAACAAGAAGTCAGCGAGTGGAAGAAAAACTCTTCGAGAGAGTGGAGACACCAAAGACCAAGCACAAACGAACAAGGACTCTATGCTTCTGGTTGAAATGGGCTTGATAAGCTCGTTTGTACGGCCCATCAAGATGTTTGGCTTCAAATTTTCAATTTTGTTTTTTTTTTTTTAAATGCACGCATTAAATTAGAACGAGCATGCTTGAACAGATCCTCTATAAATACTTTAAAAAATAAATAAATTTTGCATAAGATAAAATTAAATTATGCATAAATTAAACATAAAAATGAAAAAAAATATAAATCAATATTTATAAATAAATTTATGCATAGACTAATTTTGTTTTAGATTTATTATTTTCAATCATACAATTAATTAAATATTCAAGCACTGTAGTTCGAATTAGAAGTTAGTTTTTTGATTATTTGGAAAATCATTATTTATAGAAGAAACATTGGTTTAAATTCCCGTGTGAGCGGTTCAATTATCATTTTACTTTTTTTTAAGAGTTTTAATAGAAATGCAAGATAATATAAAAACATGTATGATAGATTGTAATTTTTATATGAGCATCATAATCCAAATTCAAAACAGATTATATATTGTTAAATTTGAAGATGTCCGACCAACGAGTTAAAAAAATATTTTGATATTTATAAAAAAGGAAATAATTAATTTTATTTTATGTTTAAAATTTGACTCATATTAACAAAAGTAGTTTTAGTTATTAATCTAAGTGATTTGATGTAATTTAAGCTTTATCTAATTTTATTTATTGTACAAATTTTGTGGAGCATTTGTTGGTCTGGTTATGTGGGTATATAGCAATAATGTTAAAGTGTTATAAGATAATATTTTTTAAAAAAAGTATGAATAAAATACGAAGTGTCAACTCATGTGAAACGTATTGTTTACAGATAGAAAAGTGATGATGCTTAACATAGAAAAGTGGTGATGCTTGTTATAGATGTGACAAATGGGTCAATGAAGAAGGTAATTATTCAAATTAATGATTGATGTCAATAAAATGGTCCAGACATGAGAATTGAGATGCTTGGTCACATTGGAAATGGTAATATTTTGTGGTTTGATTGGACATTAGTGGAATAATAATGGTGGTATTATTGAGAATCTACAATTGAATTGATGGTGGCGTAGCAAGTGATGAAGATTAACGTCATGTAATCTTAAGTGTGGTTGTGTTAGTTGGTAACATTTATGCTTTGGCTTGGAAGTGGCGACAAGTGTGATTCAAAACTCATTATTTATATGTAATTAGGAATTCCAAATTCAAAGTATTTTAATTTTTAAAAAACATGAAATTAGTGTAGAAAAAAAGTGTGAAACTTTGTGGTTAAACATGCTCTGAACTGTGACACCAGTTGCCTTATAAATACATGATTCTCTTTGAACCTTCTCATGCTCACATTGTTAAACTGAAACAACATACTCTCATTCCATTTCCATGGCACAACCCTCGCCCACCACAGACCCAACTTCCTCCACCGTCCAGAAAGTGAAACGCAACCTGGTTCTGCGTTCCACCTGGGCCGAACTCAACGGCGCCATGGGTGACCTAGGCACCTACATACCCATAGTCTTGTCCCTCACCCTAGCAAAAAACCTCAACCTCGGCACCACATTGATCTTCACCGGCTTCTACAACATCATCACCGGTGCCATCTATGGCGTCCCCATGCCCGTCCAGCCCATGAAGTCCATTGCCGCCGTCGCCCTTGCCGACCCCACCTTTTCCATTCCCGAGATTATGGCATCTGGCATCCTCACCGGAGCTACCCTCTTGGTGCTCGGCGTCACCGGACTCATGCAGCTAGCTTACAAGCTTATTCCCTTATCCGTTGTGAGGGGAATTCAGCTCGCACAGGGCTTGTCCTTCGCGTTGACCGCGGTCAAATATGTGAGGAAAGTGCAAGATCTCCCAAAGTCCAAATCTTTGGAGACAAGACACTGGCTTGGTTTTGAAGGGTTGGTTCTCGCTATAATATGTGTTTGTTTTATTGTTATTGTAAATGGTGCTGATGAGGATCAGGATCGTCATCGTCAGCAGCATGATGAGGACCAAGAACCAACAAGTCAGACTCAAGTTGGAAGTAAAATGAGGACCATCAGAAGGGTTTTTTTCTGCCTTCCTTCTGCTTTCTTGATTTTTGTGCTGGGTGTGATTTTGGCTTTTGTAAGAAGACCTAGGGTTGTGCATGAGTTTAGATTTGGACCCTCTTCTATAGAGGTGATGAAAATGTCTAGACAGGCATGGAGGCAAGGGTTTATAAAGGGTACTGTTCCTCAACTCCCATTGTCAATATTGAACTCTGTGATAGCGGTTTGCAAGCTCTCATTAGACTTATTTCCAGGTAAGGATTTTTCAGTGACATCATTATCTGTAACTGTGGGGTTGATGAACCTTGTGGGAGGGTGGTTTGGGGCCATGCCATGTTGCCATGGGGCAGGTGGGCTTGCGGGGCAGTACAAGTTTGGAGGGAGGAGTGGTGGGTGTGTAGCAATTCTTGGTGCAGCCAAATTGGTGTTGGGCTTTGTGTTGGGGAGTTCTTTGGCTCACTTTTTCAACCAGTTTCCAGTGGGGATATTAGGGGTGTTGCTACTGTTTGCTGGGATTGAACTAGCCATGGCTTCTAGGGACATGAACACTAAAGAAGATTCCTTTGTTATGCTTATCTGTACTGCAGTTTCTTTGGTGGGGTCCAGTGCTGCTCTTGGTTTTTTGTGGGGGATGATTGTTTTTGTGCTTCTTAAGCTCAGGGATTGGATCAATGGTAAACCACTTAATGCTATTTGGAAGCATGAAGACCCCAATGAACAAGTGTGAAGGAAAAAAGATTTAGGATGTTAAATATATATGTCATTATCTACTATATTGCTGCTTGCTTGTAACGGGTTATTAGTGTCTTGTAAATTGCATGGCTTACAATAAATGCCTCTCATGCAAGTTCTTTTTGTTGCCACTTATTTTCGCTCTTCTGCGATTTGATAGTGAAACACTGAAGTTTCACTCATGTCTTGTATTTGTAAGGTAACATTATAAATGTAGAATGTATTCAAGTTTCTGCTATGACTCTTCTGTGCTTCCATGGTATCGTCTTTTCACTCTCTTATGCCATGTTTACACTCAAGAACTTTTATTTCATTCTCTTCATCTGTTGTAACATTTCACTTGTTAAGTTTGTTGTGTTCTCTTTCCTTGCACCTGCATGTACTGTCTTATTCTGCATGTCGGGCTGTGATTTTTCAATCAAACCATGGAAACATTTTGTTGCAGAATCCCTTTATATATTGCTTTTTGGCTAGCATTATTCACCTCAAGCAAATTGATTTCTGTTTTTAAAATTTTTAAACTTACTTTACACAATAATAAAGAAACATTGAGTTGTCCCCATTATTTTGGACCAGATTTCAAATATATCTTCAGAGTTACTTGAGGACGCTTGTTTATTACAAGCAAAGTAAATATATATAAAGTAGGTTTATTATTTTTTATGATAATTTTTTTTAACTTCTATATATTATTTTTATTTTTTTTAGTATATATATCTCTATATTATACGGTAAAAACTATACACCTTCTTATATTGCTTTGATTCTTATTAATGAAATGAAAAATATATATGAACTAAAAAAATATTAAAAGTAATATGTTATGTATAGGAGTAGAATAAATTATTCTTAAATATATGAAATAGAATTTGAGATATCAACCTTGTTGGTAGTTCATATAACTATAACTAATATATATACTAAAAGATAAAGTTCATACGACTATATTAATTAAATTTATAAAGTATTATAATATATTACTTTAAATTAAATAATAAATACACATATTTTTTTCTAAATATTCATATAATTTTTAACTAATTTCAATTCATATATATTTTAATATTCTTCTTTTGAAACAATCATGTTTGAAACATCTTCGGAAACTAATCCCTATCCCACAAACCAAATTCTGGTTGATAATTTAAATATATATTTAAAATGAAATTAAATTAGTAGCACTAAATAAAAGTACACCATATCGATAGTTAGTTTCTATTTAAACTTAAACAAAAAAGTGTGTTGCCATGATCTTAAAGTTTTAATGTATATTACATTTAATTTTCGAAAAATATTATTGAAATAATTTTCTGATGTTTTTCTTATATAACTTACATGATTATTATAAATACAATATATATTAAGATAATATTATAAGGGTCAAGTTTTTGTCTGTTATAGTTTTATCGTTAAAATGTGTTTAAATAGATTAAGAGATAATAATTTATATAATCTAATGCATAAAAAAACCTTAGTGTAGCGTAATAAAAAATTGTATTGTGAAATGATGAGAAAATGATGTCTTTGAGCAAATTGATGATTTGAATTATCAACATTTAGAATAAAATTTGAAGATTTGTTATGCATAATAATGATTATTGTTTGACAATCGCTATTGGCTATAATTAAAAACAATACTTGATTGCTTTCAATAAATATTGTTTTTTAGTTTCCATAAAGAATAGTGTTACTAATATTTTATTCGTCATGTCTCCCAAATATATAATCACAATCTATGAAATAAATCAACTATTAGATATATTAGTTAAAATCTTATGAAATAATTTTAATAATTCATATTTGAAGACTTAATTTTTAATTTCATATTGAATACTTAATTCTTAAAGTAGGTTAAAAAAATGTCTAATAATTTTACTTAGAAAAGTATTTTACACAGAAGAAGAGAAGGTCAATAATAAAAAATTATAAAACAGTTAAACAAATATTTCGATCATTTACAATGAAGAAGACTAGAGTCATAGTGTAACCAAAATTTATTTTTATTTTAAAAAACTAAAAACATTCTTTAAAAGTAATTTTAACAAAATAAGTTTCGAAAACAGAAAAATAGAGTTCCCAATTGAGTTTTAAAATTACTTTTGATTAGAAGATGCTTTGGTCTCTAGAAGAAAAGAAAAGTATATTATATTTTAGAATATTTTTCTTTTGAAATCCTATTCTATATACAAGTACCTCGGCATGTTTTGTTATGTCATACAATATTAATGGTTTCCAAAAGTTTTGTTATTCTGTAACTTTATTCTTATTCCATGGAATATTTTCCTTTTTTTTTCTTTTCATATTCTTTTCTACATAATACCTGTAATCAGCGTCTCTAGTCTGCATCACAAAAAATAAATATATATATTTATTAGCTTCAATGTAAATATATATATATATATATATATATATATATATATATATATATATATATATATATATATATACCCCAATTTTATTAGGTTAACTCCATTCCAATTGAAATATTTATTATATTTTTAATTGATATTAAATTTCATCATCTGATTTTTTTTTTACAAGAATATTAGACGAACATATCTTATTCTAATATTAAGAAAAAATAAATACTTGCAGTTAAGAGATACATAGCCGTAGAAGAATTCGTAAAAAGAAAAATTATTGGTATTTGTGAGTTAGAATAAATTGTATAAATTAAATATATAAAAAAAATAAATTATAAACTTCATTAATAATATTATATTCTCTTTTTATGTGTTAATTGACTAATTTTTAAACCTAATGTTATCAGTAGAAATAACATTATCTTAACCATATTGAAAGGGGATAAATTCATCTTATATTTAATCTCTATTTTGAATAGTTAATCGTATCTCCACAAGATATATTACTAGGTTTTGGAGCAAAGTTTTGTTAATATATTTCTGTTTGGTTTGATGTTGAATGAGCAATTTGTTGGGTCTGTTCCCCTTGCCTGCTACATGAGATGCTAACACATGAACTATATATAGTTGCTTCAGTTACATAATTATTGACTTCAATATTGCGTTTTTGTTCACACATATATACATGTAAATGATTGATGCCTCTGCGAAATTTTCAGTGGCAGAAAAGAAGAAGAAGAAGAAGAAGAAAAACTTTCCATTCTGAGTTAATAAATGAGTTCATCTTTTCCATTAAAAGATGAAGATTTGATATGGTTGAATGATCGTGGTTTGACAATAGAATTAATTTACCTGGTTGAATAATTTTTATCCAAGAAATGATGGCATGACGCAATTTCCAACTTTCACGATTCCATCGCCCAACAAAAGGAACGTTCCATTACTAACAGTGTAAATTCCCTTCTCCTTTCTCATACTTTTTATTATCTTTTAACCATGTCAAACATCACTAAATAAATCATTTTTATGTTCAGTGATATGGTATCCAATAATGTCGGAATTTTATTCTTATTTGGAAGAAAAAAATTCATATATATTCGACAATAAATATGTATCATTAAATGAGTTAAAAGCACACCAAAAAAAAAAAAAAGTCAGTTTGAAAAAACGAAAACTCATTAAAAAATAACAATTTTGTGGACACCATAAAATTTCTTTGATATTATTTATTAGATATGAATGGATTGGTTTCAGCCATTGTGTGAGTGATGATAATGCACTCTAGCAAGGTGAAGAAGAATAAGAATAAAGATTATGAGCATATGATATGGTTTGAGAGATATGGTCGAAATGAAAGATTAACCACTTAACATGCCCATAATCGTTTTAAAAAATTCAGATAGTTTATCTCCAACCCTACTAGATTACCCTAGAGTTCTGTTCATCCACTTTTCGTAGAGTTGCAAAGTAAGATCAAAGATAAAACACATTATCTAAAAGGTAAAGAAGAATTGTTAATGCTTCCAGTTATGCAATAGATCAACCAAAACCAAAAGGGAGAGAGGAATGTCTTACTTTTCTAAAATATCATCTTGTACACCATGGTGTTCATTGAACTTGATGATCCTCTCTTATCATCTTTGCTTCTTCATCATGATCAAACAAACATTTTCTAAAAGCAATGATTTCTTACTTCTCATTGAACCGACTTTTGATAGAAATATTTGTTCAATTGACAAACTTGACTCAAATGTTAAAGATTGAGTATGAACATTATAAACTAATTACAAAAACGGCTACACCATAACTTTTCGTGGCATCCATGATGTCATCTCATCATTTATCTTGAGAATTAATCCTCACATTCGATGTCTTTTAATAATACGGTAAAATTGAATTTGAATTTTAAAAGATATAATATATAGATAATCTTAATTATATCTAATAAATTTTGTTAGTCAAGTCGGTTTCCTTAGGAATCTAAATATGAATAAAAATAAGAAAATTAAATGTCAGAAAAACTCAAATTCTAATAAAAATATATCATATTCTTTTATACTATTAACTCATGTTAAAAACTTTCTATTATTAACCCTTCAAACATATACAGCCAGAGCAAATAAATGTGCCTGTGATCCATACAAATACCTCCATGTTCAGATTTTAATCTTCCAGGAAGATAGAAACATCACAATTTAACTTCAACTTTCTTGGCGGGGGACTTTTGCCATTTGTGACCAATCCATTGACAGTCAACAATGATGTATATTAGAAGCAAAAGCTTTTTTGATCTCCAAAAACCGAAACCCAATCCTACTAAAATAAATATCACTAATTATTCTTTTGAAAAGCTATATTCCTCTTTCCTTATGCCTACAGTTAGCTAATTTCCAAACCATGATCAGAACTACACGTGAATTCAATTTAACCTAACTAAACATGTTGAGAAACTAAATTCATCTTGTTAACCTTATTGTCAAAACTCAAGGATTATTCGCTTCGGACCTCACCCTTATAAACTGAAAACTTTGTTCAATGAATTGCAATATTTAAATAATTGAAACATTTATGCTAGAAATATTTCTAAAACAATTATGAATTTAGCTAACTCACAAACTAGCCGAAGCTTTGGACCAAATGGTTTATTCTAACACGAAACCATGGTCACATTTCAAACAAAATGTATAAAGAAGATCTTAACTTTCGGCGTCAGCCAGACATGGATCATAATCCTTGGTCACATTTCGGAGGGTTATAAATATTGACAAATAATAAATAAAAAAAGGAATTACAAGGTTTGCATCCAATGAAGAGCACAACAAGCTCATATAATAAATTAACCACATACGAGAAAGAGGGTTTATATTGATATATAAACTAGTTTGCCTTGCAAGCAAACAATTTTCTTTTGTTAGTCCTTTTTCTGAGAAGAAAAGGGTAATCGCGGTTATATTTTCAGAACTACCAGCTACCTGTGTTCATCTACGGCATAAATAATATGACTGCAATTCCATTCAAGGTGGTGTTGTATTATTTGGCCGATATCTATTTCATATTTAACATTTGAAACTGAGGTCAAGGGGAAAAAATTCTGTACAAAATATAGGCAGCCAAAATTCCATAGATCCATACCACGCAGATCAGCGCAACACTGAACGAGGCATATCTCTCTAGCTGGAGAATGTGCTGGCAAACAGTGCAAAAGAGTTGCACTTCGAAGCAACAAAATCTAATCCGTCATTTCAGCTCTCACGACTTAATTTCAGTATAAAGACATAGGCCACAACCATTGACAAAGTCGAACCAAATGCTTTGTCTGGTAAACTCATTGCTGAGTCTAATAGCTGCCCCCTATGCAGCTCAATTGCAAACTGGAGGGATCCATTAAGTTATTAGAGTCAGATGCTCATGTCTTTTTTACCCATCACCATTTGAATCCTCAGAAGCTTTCATCGCTTCAGCGGTCATGAGAGCAACCACAGCCTTGTGAATTGCTAGATCCGCTTTGTAAAGCAATCTCTGAGCTTTCTCTCTCTTCATTTTGGCTAGGTTAACTGCATGCTTAGCAGCTCCCGAGGCATCACGCATTCTAAATTCATAGAGATCCGTACCATCTATTTGATCAATCCCAAGTCTCTGAGGACCATCCACAAGGTACTGCCTGTGACCAGCCAAGTCATAATAGCCCACATTCCACCTACTATCCCCATTTCTCTTCCCTGAAGATGAAATTCTCTGACTATGGGAATCATTATGAAACCCAAATGATCCAAATTTCCTTGATTTGATTCTGTTATATTTGGGTATATGATTTCTATCATAACGGTTGTTTATAGAATAATATCCCATGCTGCCAACATCTCGTGGTGAGAATATTGGGGAGATTTGAGGCAATGGGGAATCATCCACAGAATCATAATTATGCCCGGGGAATGCAAACTTCTCATCACCATATGCCAACCCATTGAATCTTCTTCCTGAGGACACATCAAACAGATGTAAGGATGAGTACATAAGTTGTTCAAAATGTTAATCATTTGATGAATCAATACTCACCGTAAGGATGGAATCCATCCTGTTCATACAGAATACTGTTTGAATGCCCTGAGACCGAAATTTTCTTTTGTGATCGATGTTTTGATCCTTTGTTTGGTACTTCCAAACCCCTTGGTTTCAAACAGAAAGCAAACATAGCAGGCTTCTCCAAAGTCACACCCTTATCCAGGCACCCATTAGAAATGGGAATATTATTCTTCGTCATGGCTACTTCCCACTCTCTCAATTCATGTTGATATCTTTCCCATAGAGGTGGCTGAACAAAGCATACAAAATTAGAGGTAAATTTTCAACCATAACACATCAGGTGCCTAAAAGAAACAGACAATCTTGAGAAGAAACAAAAGGTAAATTACATAACACCACCATACTTTGAAGCCAACCAACTGAAAAATCACAGTTGAATAAATCTCAATCAAAAGGCACAAATATAGACTAAAGGCACACATGGTTATCACCTAGAGACATTCAAACAATAAAAACCACTCACATCAACCATCATCTTAAATAGACAAACAAATAAAAGAGAATTAGTAACAACTAGAACATTTAGCATTATATTCATCATGCTTTCAGCTTGCTGGTGGATACATCAACTACTGTAAGTAAGTTAATACCAATCCACTCCCGCACGTATTAAAATCTCTTCCCCCTCACTTCTCTACCCATTCCTAATCATGTGTAAAACCAGGAGATCATTCTAAATCTCATTAAACAGTATCAGGATGAGTAACATTTCAAAAATAGGGTGATAATATCATAAATTCGATAGGTTCCTATATAGACAGTACCTGAAAATGCCGTATTAAAGGCATTCCCTTCTTCTGCCTTTTCTGCAGCCAATAGTCATAAATGATTTTGGTCAAACAGAAGGGCCCAACATCAACAGTTAGTTCCTCTATTTCAGTTGAAGTAAACTGATCACGCTGCTGAGCATATGCTGCCTTCTCAAACATATCAATTGTTTTCTCAAACATCTCATCAGAGATCCCATCCAAGAAACCATTATCTTTCTCAGAAATAGTCAAAATCCACTGTTCATCTTCACTATCCAAATCATACAAGACATGCAATGGATTCAGAGCCATCTCTATATCTGTTTCAACCTGTCGGAAGTATTTAGAGCCACGAACAAAAGTAGCTTCGGATTCATTATCATAATTTTCTTCTATCAAGACAACACCAGGAATAGGTATATTTTTAACTGAAGCAGCACGAATGTTCTGGTTGTAGCATTCCTCATGCATCTCCTTAAAAACAGCCCACTGACTTCGATCAGGAAATTCTAAGATCCAATCCTTCCCTCCTTTCCACATCATAGCATGAGTGTAACGATTTGTTGATCCAGTCTGCAGAAACTGATGTGCTTTGTAAGAATACCTTGTAATACCTGCAAGTTTTACAGAAAGTTTCCACTCATTATGATCAAACAATTCTAGTACAACTCGAGCACCAGATTCTCTCCACCCCTTATCACCAAGGGTAATCAACACATTTGCATCACAAGATAAGGACTCCAGATTCTTTTCAGGACTTCTAGCAACATCCAATGATTTCTTCTCATTTGCCTTTCTAATTCGCTTGTGAGGCAATCCTCTCTGTCTCTGATAATGGCTTCTGTGCCTTGAATTATAATCATACCCAGAAATAGGCACCGAATAAGATACTTGCGTCCGTGGTTTCTTAGGTCCACTGCTAAAACCATTGTGAAGAGAATCACCCTTCACATCAGACCAACCATGAGACTGGAATCCAAATGATGAGGAATTGTTTCTATTCCGATGCCAAGAACTTCTGGGAGCAGTTGGATTAGGGCTGAGAATGACACCTCCATTTGCATTCCAGGAAAAATCAGAAGAGTGTTGAGCATCACGCAAATCACTATCACAAGGTTTCTCAAATTGATCAACAGAAGGTATTTGGACACTCAAATCGCACAGAAAAGAATGGGAATCATCATCACCTTTAATCTTATCAGTTAAAGAATTTGAAGGAAAAGAATGGTCAAAATGATGTGTTTTCCACTCATGTAACTGAACAGTAGGAGGCCTCTCCGAACGATCCAATATGGAAGTTCTATCAGCACTAAGATCAATATTCTGGTAATTTTGAGAGAGAATTTGATCACTGCAATTAGATGGACTAATTAATAAATCTGATTCAGCACAAGTCAATCCATCATGCACAGCATCCTTAGATAACGTCATCATATTTTTCTTCACATTAAATTCAGTAGTCCGGTTAGGGTAATCATCAATGCTGGAGCAGTCATCGGTCATCAGACCAAAGACTTCCGGATCATCTACCAATGCATGATCACAAAAGCTAATATGAGCTACTGACTTTTCCATCAGCAATTTAAGATGTAAACTAATGAAAAAAGTAGGTGCAGCAGCAAAAGAAAGTGAAAATGGAGGAATCTTCCTCTTGCCAGAATCAGAAGATTCACTAGTATCAGCCTGAGATAACTCTCTGGAAACACCCATAATGTTAATCCCTGGCCTAATCCTCTTCTTCGTGACCTGTTCATGTATAAAACCAACACAGATCAAATTGCAGTGACTGGGAGCCTTGGCAGGACACATTATTCAAATATAGCAAACATATTCTGGAAATGAGGCGGACATGGTGTTACCAATTAGCAAACATAACAAAATTGGAGAAAGTACCTTGACTAAGGGGTTGCCTCTGATGGAAGTAATCGGATACTCACTTGATTGATTTTGAAGCGCCTGGATGTTATCATACGTGCATTCAGAGAGATGGAGCTGCTTACTGAGTAAGCAATGTCTCTGAAGTTTTGAATCTAAATACATCCATTTTGAATTCTTCACTCTGGAGAAAGTGTAAAATGTAAACACAAGAGGCTTCCTTACACCATAAACACTTGAAAATCTGAATCTGATAGATGTAGCAGGCAACTGCAAATCAATATACTTCCCTTCTTCAGCAGGTTGATGAAATAACCGAAGGACACAAAAGACAAGGGCTGCAGCCATCATCAAGCAGCCTTCAAATAAGAGGAACCTCAGCCCAACCGCATTGTCGACAAAAAGCATCTCTAAATGAACTCTAGGCCACAAGGTCACAACTGTACCATACTGAAGTAGCAGAATAGCTCGGAACAACCACAAATTCTCTAATTTAAACGAGTCATTCAACAACAATTGTATTGGATATTTTAAGGCAAACTTGGATGTTGCTGAACCTGTGTCTAAAAATATTTTAAAAACCCCTGCATTACGTGTGTAACACAATGGCCCCTCTATCTCACCCCTCTCCTCATCGGACTCTCTCAGATCCATAAGCCCACAAGCAGCAGGATCAAAAGAAATGGAACAAGATGCAGTTTTTTTAACGTGTTTATCTTCAGAAATATGAGGTGACATCAGCATTGGCTTGCGAAACCGCCTTCTAAAGTAGACAATAGGTTGCTTGTCATCTTTAGGGCAATCAAAGCTTTGCAATGGAGACTTCCTCCCAAAGTTATCACCTAATCTATCTTCTGATAAAGAATCTCTGGAAAGGCTGCTTTTACCCTCCCTTGGGGAACTCTCAGCTAAGCACCTGTGCGATTTTACAGTTTCATCACATAACAATGATGACGATGTACTTGGAAGTGCATTAGGACTTTTCTTTTTCTTAACCCCGTTAAAAGCAGAAGGCTTAAACCGATGAGAAGATCGAGCCAACCAAGAGATTATAGGCTCTGTGTCCATACAGCTTTCACCACAGCTATCATCCTCGGTAATCACATCTCGTCTTTGTCTTTCTTTGCCGGACAGGCTTCCTTTTTGCTCATCAGAGCTTTTATGTTTCCTTACTGCTCTTTTTTTCCCTGCTTTTCCAGGAACTTCACTTGGAAGTAGCAGGAGTTTGAACCTCTCAGTTTCAAGATTAATCCATTCTTCTTCTCGATCATCATATTTGATATGATGACACTTTGTTTCTCTGTTATAGTTATCAACAAGACCATGATACCAACTTTGGTCCAAAGGCCAAAAAACCTTAATTCTCTGGTTCAGTATCCAATGTTTATCTAAGTCACCTAGTGAAATTTCATAAAAATGTCGCCTCTTTCGGGAACTACCTTTTTCATTGTATTGCTTCCTTGGCCTCAACACTCTACCAGCAGTATCAACTGATGCTGATTCTGAACCTGACTGAGACTTTGACCCACAACTATCAATATTCCGACTAGAAGAGAGCAAAAAGGACAACCCATTTGATGATGGCAATGTAGAGGGCTTACTACCTGAACAAAATCCGGCATAATTTGTATCAAATCTTGAAGACAGCATCCTTGCTGCATTCTCTTCAAGATTCTCCTCCTCATCTTCCCGTAAATAATCAGATATTTTATTAGCATCAATCAGAGGCTTAACCTCCTTGGCAACTTTATTTCTATCTGGAGCCAAAGACCTTTGCTTATAGTCAGATGTTTTACTATCATCAATCAGAGGTCTAACCTCCTGGGCAACCCTGCTTCTATCAGGAGCAACAGCTTTTTGCTTGTAATCAGACTTTTTACTACTCTCAATAGGAGGCTTCACATCTGTGTCAACCTTATTTTTATCTGGAGCAAAAGCCTTTTTCTTTCTGTCCTTCTTCAGTGACTTCTTTGAGGAGAAATCACCACTATTTACAACAGATTTACTCTTAGTTCCCTTAAACTCATCAAAATCTCTTTTGAGTTTGATCTTTGAAGACTCAATCCCCCTCTTCAAATCAACACTACTTAACTTAGGTATCTGATCACCATGGCCACCTGTATTACTAGGCTCTCCAGCCAATTTTGGCGCCAGACTAACTTCGAATTTCCTTCTCCCCACAAAATCCCTCCTTCGCTTCGGAATGTGAACATTTCCATCAAAACACAGTGAACCTCTATTCAGTCCCGTATTGCTACTTGATCCCTGTTTTGGCTCCAACTTTTGTTCACACAAATCCTGCCTACCAAAACCAAACCCTTTTTGCCATTCTTCATCAACAACTTTCTTGTGGCCAACATCAGCATTATCTAAGCTACTTAGAGACACTTCCTTTCTGGTCTTCTTTCTCTTGTTTGCATTCTCATCAACACCCCCAGGATGACACCCTTTCCTCTTTAAGCCCTTCTCTGGACTCTCTTTTCTCACTTTTGGTTTATACAAACTCTTCAGATCCAAAGATCTCGATTTTTTTGGAATTGCAGTACCATGGGTGCTCTCCCCTCTATCTTCCATGTACAACAAGCAGAACAGACCGAGACACTACAATGTTCACATTCCATCATACATGACTATGCGTTTTTTTTTTTTCAGATCTGTGACAACAATCACATGAAAAATCACAAAAAAAATCCCTCAACCAACGCAAAAATTAGTATCATAATATCCATTTCCACGGTGCAGTGGACAAATTGCATTATAAAAAAAATTTATAAAAAAAAACAAACATAACAGCTACAAAATCTTAACAAATCACACACATACCTCAACCAACAACACACCACAACACAGTCGATTCGTTCCCAAAACACTGCGATCACGATCACGAATCATGAATTAGGGTTTGAATCCGACTCACGCGATTTAAAACCCCCAATGGAATCCTCAATTCTGAAATTGAATTCACCGACAATTTCGATTTCTACGTGTTTATATTTTGGTTCAAAACCCGGGAGAGACGCACGAGAAGTAGGGTTTCATTTGGTTTGGAGTGTAAGGGTTTTTAGATTGAAAAAATACTGAAAATAAATGGAAATGGTAAATAGCAGAAAACACTCAAACACTGATTTGGATCGACACGTGGCGCTTTATGGTCCACCTGATTGTAAATCGTCGCATGGGGCTACGATCGCCTGCTCCAGGTGTACTACTAGATAGTGGGACTTTTTTTTTTTTTAACCTAGGATGGTGATAGTAACGGCTAGGATTGAACGTGTTGACGCGTCGAGAACGAAGTTTCAGTAATGTTCCAGAGGTTGCACGATGCTTGGGCGATAAGATTTATGCACAACGCCTATTCACGAGAAAATGGAACGTAAAATTAATTTGCGAGAAATATCAGATATGCCATCGAGGTTTCTCAAAATGGAGCACGTTAAATGAATATGTATTTCAAAATAAAAATAAAAAATGAATGTTGATTTTATTCTTCTAATTCTTCTGATTATTGTTTATTTCTTGATTTATTTTTCCTTGTTAATATAAATTTTTGGTGTTAAATTTGTGTCTTTTTAATTCATTCTTAAGGTAGCCATCGAGGATTATTGATGAAAAGGTTATTATTATTATTATTATATTTAACTCAGAAAATTACTAACTTAAAAATAGTTGATGATGGTTACAATTTTTTATGTTTTTCCTTTCAATTAAATTTGTGTTTGAGTATAAATTGGTAAAAATCATTTTAGATATATTATAGTACAAGTTTGTGCATATATCTCTTCTAACATTAGTTAGTATAATTAGTATATTTTGTTTGTTTCTTTAGTTTGTGTTCTATTTATAAGTTTAATAATATTATTAAACTTTGAGCAACCTATGGTAGAATAAATAAAAACAAATTAATAAAAGTTAACTCACTAGTGAATAAATAAAACAATCTAGTACATGCATTTAAAATAAGAGCCCGTCATAAAATCCAAGAACTTACAAAATTCATAAAAAAAAACATTTTATTGTAAAAACTTATCCAAATCAACCTTTCAATTAAATTAATTTTTAGAATTTATCTTTGTTTATGGAAAAAAAAATATTGTAATAAATTATTTATTGATTACGCTGTTTATATAAATTAGTTTAATAATCTATCTTCACAAGGTAAATTAATTCTATATAAATTTACGTGTAATACTTTAAACATATGATTTTAAATCTCCAATAAGATATTCTATTGCCTATACAATAATAAAAACAACTATTTAATTCTATTTTAAAATAGAAGTTATAAGCAAAAGACCTTGACCCAAATTAGAAGATGTAAGAACTTTGAAAGGAAGCAAAAATCCATTCAATGTAAACAAATTACTCCCCATGCACGAATTCCCCAAATCCGTGCGGTCAACAACGATTGCAATACTTGATTGGTAGCATACAAACAATCAGAGAAAAATCCAAATCCACATTAAATTGTAGTTTAACCCAGGGTTGTTCACTTGTTTCTGTTTCCTTCCACGGATCTTGCATTCTTGGAGCTAACTACGCCTACCTTGAATTTACGAAACGAAAAAAGAAAATGCACCTGAAATCCGCGCAACCATCGTTCCGGAATCGGACGCATGAATTTCACAGCATCACTGAGAGGTTGAAGAAGTCCGGATCAGGGCCCAGTGGGCCCAGCAGTAGCAGTTCTTCCAGATCGGAGGAACAGCAGTCTCATATCGCAAATCAATCGGAGTTTAATAGACGGGCCTCTAAAATCGGTTACGGAATTCACCAAACGTCTCAGAAGCTCTCCAAACTCGCCAAGTGTAAGCAAACCACGATGAGTTTATTTTTAAATGATTTTATAATTGAATAGTATGATATGAAGTTATAATTGTATTTTAATTGATTTTAAAATAGAATCATAGGATGTTAAGTTATGAAGTTACACAGTTTTAAACTTATTTTAATTGATTTTAGACTAGAATCATATGATATGAAGTTATGAACCTTTCTATTTGTTTTGATTCATAGTGGCAAAAAGGACTTCTGTGTTTGATGACCCTACTATGGAAATCCAAGAGCTTACGACTGTTATTAAGCAGGATATCACTGCTTTAAACTCTGCTGTGGTGGATCTTCAGTTGATATGCAACTCAAGGAATGAGAGTGGAAATGTTTCTGTGGACACAACAAGTCATTCCAGCACGGTGGTGGATGACTTGAAGACGAGGTTGATGAGCGCCACCAAAGAGTTTAAGGATGTTCTCACCATGAGAACTGAGGTACTTTGTTGTGTTGGTACTTTGTTGTGTTGGTGGTTTGTTGTGATTGTTTTTTGGCTAACATTGTGTTGTTTTTGTGAAGAACATGAAAGTACATGAGAATAGAAGACAATTGTTTTCGTCTTCTGCCATCCGGCAACGGCCTTTGGCTGCTAGGTCAGCAGCTAGTAGTTCTAATGCCCCTGCTCCTCCCTGGGCTAATGAGTCATCATCTTTATCTCACGTGTTTCCTAAGTAAGTTGAGTGAATTATTTCTGTACTAATTTGTTGGTTAAGCATCTGTTTGTTATGGTCTTGACAATAGCTCTGTAATGCAGGGAGACGAACTTGTGAGATGATTTGAGTTTATATGTTTTCTTATCACGTAGATGCATATTAGTATGCTTGGTTAGATAATTGGGTGCATGATTTTTGTTGGGAGAAAGTAATTGATGAATCTAAGTAAGACTAGTTGGTTTACTTATTAATATATAGTGGAAGCATGGTTACAAACTTACATGTATTTTTTTATTTGTTTTCCTATAAATGTTCCAACTCAATGTTGCAGCATTTTTTAGCAACCATTTTACCAATTTTAATTTCCAACTTGTTAACTTTGGTTATCACTCTGATGCAATTGCATCAAACAAGCATAAGTTACAACCTTTTTAGACCTCATTTGTTGGCCTAACCTGACCCAACATAACTCTAGCAATAATGAAACTTGGCCTGGTTAGGAGAATCTGGTGGGTCAAACAAACCAGGCCAAAATATATGTAGGAAAGCAAGCTTGCAATTCTAACCATTTTATTTTGTTGGGCTGACTTGTCAATTCTAACCATTTTCCTTTGGCGGCTTGGCTCAATAAAAGAGATGAAGTTGAAATGTCAGGTCTACCCTGCAAGCAGTGGGCATCTCGGTCCGGATTGAGAGCATTGTTGTTAGGCATGTTATGTGGATCTTTACTTTTGACAATAAAAACTTTTCTCATGCTCTATAATTATTTTAAGATTGAGTCAAATTCTGTCTGGAGTTCTGTCCTCTTCCAAAAAGTTAACTTTTCTCATGGCTTTTCTATCTATAGGAAGCAGATAGATATGGAGAGTCAACCATTGTTGCAACAACAGCAGCAGCATCAGGAGGTAGTTCCATTGCAAGACAATTACATGCAAAGCAGAGCTGAAGCTCTTCAGAATGTTGAGTCCACTATTCATGAGCTTAGCAGCATTTTTAATCAGCTAGCAACACTTGTTTCCCAACAAGGAGAGATTGCCATCAGGTTTTCATATGTCTCAATTGTGCGCTATTACATATATATATATATATATATACACACACACACACACGCACACACATCCTTATTGTCACTATTTCTGTATTCCAATATGATATTCAATTAATGTTACCATTAGATTAAATCCTATTTGCTTTGCTAGTAACTCTGTTATCAAGCAAACCTGTACCAACTTTATTGTAATTGAAATGACTTTAGCCCTGACATCAATGAGCTTGTATTATGTCTGTAGCAAACTATTGCTTCAGTTTCTGGTGGTATGTGGAAGATGATTGGCATTGCATGTTGACTGTATGGTTGCAATGTTATGCCTTACTGTTTAATTAGTTGTCTTGCTGCTTACTAAGCATATGTAGATTAGGTTAACTGTCTGCACGAGATGATTGGGCTGTTTACTTCATGTTGACTATAATGCTGGATCCCTTGTCAGATAAATTGCTTACTTTTCTGCATTGAGTGGAGAAATGACTTTTCTAAGAATTTGTCCACTTCAGTATTACAAGGTGAGGTTTAGAGACTAAAGCATAATTGGATAACTGATGATGAAAAACGAAGCCCATGGTATCCTAGTGTGCCCGTGCCCATGCCTGATTGAAGAAGAAGGGTTGTGTTAGGCTCTCGTCAACCAACCTAAAATTAGTCTATATACATGCACACACACACATATATATATATATATATATATATATATATGTATGTATGTATGTATGTATGTATGTATATATATATATATATATACATACATACATACATATATATATATATATGTGTGTGTGTGTGTGTGTGTGTAACAAATGGCACTGTGTGATCTGTGTAACTGACCTGAGTTAGTAGGTTAAGACATTTTTCTGTTGATGGGGTAAAATTAAACAAATTATGTCATGATAATTTTATGAACATTTAGATGATGATCTATCTTACGTATAGGACTTAATGATACCACCTTCCTCAATTGCTTTAATTAATTATATTTGTTTCTTTTCATATGTACTGATCTTGCCATGGAAGCATTCCCTCCTGGTTCAATGCAACTGGTGGCAGTTAGAATTACTCTCACATCTTTGGTGGGTTGGTTTGGGGGAGGGGGGCTAATTAGCTGAAAGTTTATGCTCTCACTTTAGTTTATTTCGTTGTCGTTCCTTGTTAATGACTTTTTTAACAATTGTTTTTGGTTTCTTATTTAGCTGTTTATATCGTGAGTATGTTTTGGGATATCTTGGACATTATGTATACATTGGAATAGTTAGGACATTGTAGACACATTAATACTTTTGCAGTTTTCCTTATTTAATCTTAAATGAAGACTGGTTTCATGATATCAACTGGTGGAAGCACTAGAGGCAGTGACAACTTGGTTTTTAATACATGTGCCAGTCAGTGCAGGGATTTATCTTGGCTACATTATTCAAGTTTTGAATACTTCTTTTCCTTATCAATTTCTTAGTAATAGTATATCCTATTCCTGTTTAAAAATAAACAAACTAGATCAGCACCCGTGCTTTGCATCGAAGAACAAAGTAAAAAATGGGAGAAAGAAAGTAAAAACAGTAGGTGAAAGAATGGGCAATGTCATACAATGACACATGCAACGGTGGACACATTTTATATTACTATAGATGATATACAAAAATTTGATGGGAGAAAGTCATGCAACCATGTTGTCAAACTTGTGTCAACTAAGTTGCAAAATGGTTATACTCAAGCGAGGTGTAAACTTGGTAAAATGGTAATTGCAACTTGTTCACTCTTGATGTATGATTATGAAAATATAAATTTTATTGCGGTTAGTTGCTTTTAATCTTTCTTGTAGTAGTAATCTTTTGTTATGAATATGTATATAAGCTTGCCTCTCCACAAGTTTAGTGAAGCTTGCTTGTTTGACAATTTGGCATGGGAAATTGAATACGTATACTTCGATTATTGGCATGTTGAATTGACTTTTGCTTGATTTTTCCTTTTACATTGGCTAATTGGGACACAGTGGGGCTGATAGACGTACTTAATTTGCAGGATTGATGAAAATATGGATGATACTTTAGCAAACGTAGAGGGAGCACAGGGGGCTTTGTTGAAGTATCTGAACAGCATATCTTCTAATCGGTGGTTGATGATCAAAATTTTTTTTGTATTAATATTTTTCCTCATGGTTTTCTTATTTTTTGTGGCATAATTATTGGGATGACAGAGAAATGAAAACAACCTGAGTCTGGGCCTTCTGTATTTCTTTAATATTTATTTCTTCAAAATATATATTCATTCTTGCAGAATTTAACATTGGAGCAAGTTTGCCAAATAAAATACGTCTACGTATTATTTACCAACGAGGTTTTCTGTAATAATATTTTTTCGGCATATCTAACTTGGGACATAGAACAGCAATGGCCTGATAATAGTTCATGAGCTTTTTTGTTAATAGTAGGCGTTCATGAGCTGACACGAAAAAAAAGAATGAAGAAATTTCAATAACAATATTTGCTCCAGTCTTGGCATGGACTTGTAAGAAGCAGCAAATAATATAGAAATCAATAATAATATTGATGTAAATAGATAAATTCTTCTTCTTCCTTATCTTCTTATTCATCTAAAATCTTTTTTTCATCTTTAACTTCATCCTCTTTCGTAATATCTTCTTTGTCATTAACTTTTTTTCATCTTTATTTTCTTCTTTTCTTACCTTCATCTACATTCCAAATTTTTGTTCATTCTTAATTTATGTTTCATCCGTAACTTTTTCCCTTTCCTTAATTTTATCACGTATGCATGGATGCCAAATTATCAAAAAAAGGGGGGAAATGTAGGAAATTGGTGAAATGTTGAAGAACGCAGAAAGTAGGTCTAGAAGTGATGATAAAATTAACTTTGAACCCTACAATTCAACGAAGATTCATGTCTAAATAGACCTTTTGCCTCTTGTGGATTCAAAAGTTTGGGCTGAATATCTGCCTACAAATGAATTGTATTATTTGGTTGTAATTATAATAGCA